TCTGAATGTATAAAAAATGTAATGTAAAAAAAATATATGTTTTTTTCATGTATTGCATTAATTATTATATTTTATGGTTCAATTGTGTTTCTTTTAAAAGCTTTATAATATTTTCTATTGAATCTACTGAATTTTTTAATGCTAGTTCTCTAGAACGGGGTATTTGGTTTTTTACAAAGGCTTGAGGTATTAATGTACAATCTTCTATTATATGCTTTATGGATAGCAGGGACTAGCAGGTATCGCAATATTGTTTGCCCTCTTTTGTTATTTAATGTACATGTGTCAGGTTAGTATGACCAATTATCATCCTTGTCACTACCACTTCTCTTCTGTTTCCTCTTCCATCACTTATCCACTGTTATGTACTTTTTTTTACAATTTCTAAGTTTATTAGTCGGTGGAATTTCATTCCACATGGACCCCCGTTTTTTACAATGTTTTTACACCACTCGGCTCGTATATATTTGGAAAGGTGGGATATTCATATGTGACAGCTTCTTTAGCAGCTTTATCCGCTGCCTTATTTCCTGGTATCCCGGAGTGACCTGAAGTCCAGAAAAAATAGTTTGTTAAGGTTGTTTATAATTTCGATGTATTGGTGGATTCTGTTTATTGTAGGCCCGGTTTTATTGAGGTTTGCTATACTCTGAAGTGCGGATATTGAATCAGAACATATTACTATTTTCGAGCTTTCTATATTTATTGATAAAAGTAATGCTGCAGAAATAGCCTGCAATTCTGCATTATATATTGTTGAGATTGGGGGTAATTTATGTTTATGGGTATCCCATTTATAATTATTGCAAAACCTACATTATCATTCCGTTTGGATCCATCAGTGTATATTAATTCATGATCTGAATATTTTTTAATTTCTTTTAGGAATTTAAATTTATTGAAACCTGAATTTTTGTACTTAAAAGTGAGGTATATTTTAACTGGTTGCTATTTCCAGGATGGTGATCTAAAAATAGGGTCACATAAGTCATTAGGCATGCTCCATATTTCTCCAATGACTCCTCTTTGCCTTATACCTAATGGTGCACTTCTTGTAGGATTTAGTTCATAATTTCTAACACGTTTTGGGTGGAATGAATGAGAGTATGCAGGATTTGTTGGCTGGAGTTTTGATTTTGCAATACAATTGTTGATTAGTTCCTGCCTTCGAAAAAAGAGAGGAGCTATGGAGGCTTAGGTTCAAAGAACCTATTAGGCTTATTCTAAAAGCACCAGTGGCAAGTCTTATTCCCGTATGGTGTACAGAATCCAGGAGTAGGAGATGGTTTCTTTTTGCTGAAGAGTACACATATATTATTACAATATATTAGATATATCGTATACAGTATCTACAATCACGTAATATTTCATACAGTACCTCGCTCGTTAGTTACAAAGAAAGATTATAATGGATTTTCACGTCGTCTCTAATGTATCTATCTATTTAAAAGTTAATTAATTCAATAATTCATAAATACATATATTATTATTTTTATTATTATTATAACTAACTCCCAAATTTATATGCAACAAAATCCATTGAACTATGCCACACAATAGGCCAAAAAAAGTACAATAATATGGAGTTTATTTAATATGCCATCAAAAGTATTATAATATGCAGTATAGTATGCAACCAATTAGTAAAAGGTAATAAAGATAAGCGCATTTCACTATTTACGTTTTTCATATCTATGATTTTTGTATTATTTTGACTTCTAGTAGCGCCTTTTCTAGTAGAACCAACAAGTGGGGTTTAGTTTTATTTTGTTTATTTTTTTTTTTTTAAATTATTGTAACTACGATTACTAACCAGCAGCTATTCTCTTACCCTCATGAATTCAACTCATTCATAAGAAATCCTTCGGAGGTCCGGGATTGTAAGTTATATATCCAAGGTTCTTTGAAGGAAACGCTAATAACGACATTATTATGTAAGACTGTAAAATATAAAAAAACTAAATACTATTTCGTTTTTTTTTTTTTTTTTTACTCAGAAATAATTATTTGATGAAGGTGCGGATTGTGATATAGTGAAATTCCAGAGGAGTTAGCTAGTTTTTTTTTTTTTATCATTCAGTAATGTTTACTGTAATTATCTTCAAATTGCAGCTACAGCATTTAGCCTGTCCATTCCTTAAACACGTCAATATAATTAACAATTGGGACAAGTCATCATTTAAAGTAGAGCAGGTACAACACTTTCGTTTATAAAATGCATAACGTTTTGGGAGCACTCATTTTTTTTTTTTTTTATTTCCTTTACATAGAAGGCATTGGCGGGGTAGACGAATTTATTAAATCCGTGCTCATGAAAAGGTCGTCATCTTAAAGTTTTTAAAGAATGTTCTCGAAAGACCTGTAAACAGCAGAAATAATTAAAAATTATAATTTTTTTTCCAAGGGTCGATGCACTGTAACTGCTGAAACCGGCCGTGACCAGTTCGCAAAGAGCGGATTTCCTACCAGTGGGTCTTTAACAGCTGTATTGTCTTCGTCGCACACCAAGCTGCAGAATAAAAAAGACATTTCAGGTAGAGGAGCGCCACCACATGCTAGAGGAAAATTACCTTTTTTTTGTGGGGAGATATTTTTCGAATTAATGAAGCGATGAACCGATGTGCCAAAGAGTTTTTTAAAAAATTATTATGTAATTTATTGAATTACAATATAATCTGCCATTCAATGGGGCATGTATTAAAGCTACATGTGTTCATCATACTATTGTGCCAAGGAGCACTAGTGGATCCAGGATTTAATTTTGGGGGGCTTCAGTCTGAAAGATTTTTTTTTCATATACATATAACCATAATTAATTGGGAAAAAAAAGAAAGAACTTAACTTCCGATATCAAATGATGTTTAAGTGGTTCTTGAAGTCCTATTAAATGTAATTACAGGAACAAGCACACTTAGATAGTTTTTAATATTTTTTTCTATAAAACATGGTTATATTTTACCATTTTGGTGGGGGAGGCTTCAGCCCTCTCCCTCCCCCTGTAGATCCACCTGTGCCAAAGAGTGTTATTGATGTTTGGCAGCTGGTTATCACCAATTTACAGACCACGAATAAAACTAAGTTTTGACTATTTTAAAATTAAACCTGTTAGTGATTACTGAGACCTTTTAGTCAGATGTTTCATAAAAATATTAAGATTTGACAATTAAAGTTTTATAATTTACTTGTTGTATTTATCATTTATACAGTTGTAAATTTCAATAATAAAAAAAAAGTTTTAAACCTGGAATATGGGTAATAGATCACAAGGACGATTTTGTTTAAAAATTATATAAATATGTATAAAAAGCCTTCCTCCCAAAATTAAATCCTGGATACTTTACTGTATACATACAGGGTGTCCCAGTTTTTAATGGCCAAACTCTGGAGGGTGATTCTAGACAAAATTTCTACAAAACAGTTCTTTTGATTCATAGACCGATTCGGAAGGGATAAGGAGTTAGGACCAATTTTGTATGATCACGTTTTTTATTGGATAAAAAGGAAATGCTCAAAAACTGTTCAAAATAATTAAATTCTAAGCACAGCAACATTTTTTTGATAAAAAAAAAGTGATTAAATTTTATTTTATGTAATAAATTTTATTTATTACGGTGATTAAATTTACTAAGGTCAATGATAAAAGTGATTTTTAGCCTGAAAGTTACTTTATCATTGACCTTGGTAAATTTAATCACTGTTTTCTAAATATAATGTTTTTTACTTTACGATAGTGTACTTAGAATTTAATCATCTTGGACAGTTTTGGGGCAATTCATTCTCATTTAATAAAAATGTGACTACACAAAATTGGTCTTAACTCCTTTTCATATATATATAAAATCATCTAGCAGATTATTGGACTCATACCAGAGCTTGGTAAGCAATGGAGAAGCTCTGGATGTCACAATGTTGTGTTATTGATTCCAAAAATATAATATAACATTTATAAAATTATATAATTTCAGATCTGAGTCTACCCCATAGATCTACTTTCAGCTGCCAAATTAGTATTTTACTCACACAAATTTCTTTTTCCTACCTTCACTTTAATTAAGGGGAACTGTTTTCACTTTGAATGAATAAATCACAAAATTAAATTTGTCAAACTTTCATAATTCAAAAATCCTCAAGTGTAGCACCCATGCCAAAACATTTTTTAACAGCCCGCATAGAATTTTTACAGAACTATACTTAAAAAACTTGAAACTAGCAACATTCTCGACCTATCATATGCTCTTTATAAAATTACATTTTTATGTAGATATAATTTATAAAAATAATCACACTAAAATGAGAAAAAATCCATATTGAGACAGGTTTCAATTTAATAATAAATGATCAACTGTTGATTATTTTAGGGCTTTATCAGTAAAATATGGAGCAGTTTTAATATTGAGTAGAGTCCCTCATTAAAGCTTATTTTTAAAGGCATAAATATTAATTTAATTATAAATAAAATAGAGTTTGAAGCAATGTTTATATATATATATATATATATATATATATATATATATATATATATATATATATATGAAATTAAATTTAACAGTGTTTTTCCATGTCATAAGGCGGTCAAGTCATTGTAAAATATGATCATTAAGCCATGAAACTATACAGTAGTTTAGTTAGTTATACAACAGATAGCTGCACACAATCACTTCTCTTTGTAAAGGGGAATAAATTAAAGTAAATAGTTTTAACAGTGCATTAATATATACATTTTTTAAAATTTTGATTGAAAAAAAAAACAACAGTAATACTACTAATTTATACAATTTTAAAAGTAATTTTACTATGCCAAACTGAATACTATTACATCCAAATTAGGAGAAGCTTTTACAAATTTCTTCTTTCTTTCTTTTGAGGAGCCTATACCCCACTTGAGATCTAAGCTTAAATGATAAAGAATGGAGGGGATATTCTATTTTCTGTCTGGGATGGCTCAGTAGGCCACCAGTTATCACAGCAATATTTTCAATATTATTTTTTACCTTTTGCAGGTGGAATGAGAGTGAATGCTTTTCTACTAAAATGACTAAGGACAGGCTAGACCAGCTCATTAATGCTGTAATTATTATTATTTTTTTTTATACTTAAAAAATAATCCAAGTTAAAGTGTTTATTTTGTAAATAATTTTTAATGTCTGGTGTTGATAATTCTAATTTTATTCAGGGTAAAAATAATTCAAAAAAACTTAGTAGACCAGTTCCCCAGCAGGTAGAGGATGGCGAAGAGACTGAAGAAACTGAAATGGTATCCTATTAAAAATTAAATTTTATCATTCCATTCTAACTGAATTAATTAATAAGAAAATTTTGTCAGGTGTAATTATTGATGTTAATATTTACAGACAGCATTGACAGGGCAGAAAGTTGAGCCCGTCATAGTAAAAACAAAAAATAAAGATACTAAAAATTTAGACAAAGTATACAAGCAGGTAATATTTCACAGATTTTAATAAATAAAGTTTGTTCTATTAATATTGTTATTAATAAACTTAATCATTTATCTAGGTAAATAACATCAATGCATTAATATCACAAATCAATGAAGATATAGTTCAACTGAAAAGATACCATGTAAGGATGCAGCAATCCACAAGAACTGATACAAGCTAGTATAAATTTTTGTTAATTTATCAATTAAATTAGTTAGTTATTTTGATTATTAAGAATGCTATAAATTTTCATCTTTGCACCTTAATGGACCAAATGATTTTGATTCCTACAATGGAATTCTCATTTGTTGCCCTCATTACCATTAATTTAACAGATGTGCAGGATTGACCATTCACTTAATTGAACCAATTGATATGACAACGGGTCTTTAGCCACATACTCAAGAAAAATGTCTTATGTTCACAGGAGACAGAGAGCAAATTGATTCATTGAATGAAAACATTAAGATTACTGCTATCAAAATCAAAACTGAGCTGGAAGGTAAATTAATGCATCAAAATCTTAATATCGTGTCACTTTTTTTTTTCTTTCTGCATCTATAATTATTCATATATATTTTTTTTTTATAAGAATTGGAAAAAGAGAAAAAAGGAAATGAAGAAATGGTAGTATATAGAGTTGTTAAAACACAACATTCCTTGATTACAAAAAGGTTCAGAGAAACAATGGAGGATTACGAGAACAGTTTGACAGCTCATAAAAAAATATGCGAAGATATTATTAAAAGGCAATTGAAAATAGGTAACCTTTTCAAGGCATGTTTTACCATTTAAATGTTAAAAATTATTTTAAAACATTAGATTTTTTATTCTTATATTATTAATAAGAAACTTTGAATAAATTGTAGTCATTGAGAGGCTACTACTAAGGAAGGTGACATGTGTTCCAGCGGACAGAGAAGTTACTGATGAGCAGCTGTGCACTATGTTAGATGCGGAAGATACAGCTGTTTTTGTTGATAATGTAAGTTTGAATAACTTCAATTACAGAAGAGGTGAAACGTATGTCAATATTTTCTCCAATTTATTCACTTATTTTATAATTTTTCTCAACATTTTCTCTTCTTGGACCAAATATTTTATTTTCCATTTTCCAGTTATCTTTTTTCTAAATAGTCTTTTCACAATCATTTGCCTATAGGTCAATCTAAGAAATAATCACACTCAGTGTAAAACAATTGTAAAACGAACTAATATATTATTATTATTCAACTTATAATATCTATATCCAAATCAAAATTTTTTAAAATATATATACAATAAATATTATCATAAATTAATAAAAGTGTCTTACAAAGTGGAGAATAAAAAAAAAGTATGTATTGTTTTTCAGTTAGCTGATAAAAACCACAATGCCTCCTTAAGTTGCTATTTTTATGCGGTGAATTATTGTTTTTCAGTCAATCATAAGGTTGCCTGACTATTCTGTTCAATTAACACTCTTGTCCTTTAAACTTAGTAAAAACCTTCTCTTTTTCTTGTAAAACTACAGTAAACTATCAACTTATTCCCATTTCAATAACAGAAAAATCCTTATATATTTTTAATAACTTCATCTTATTTTTTAATGACACTGAACCCCTATTTACTAACATCCATATCAGTGGTAAAGAACATTTCATCCAAAATAAATAAAAAACTAAATAAGAGTTACTCCTATTTTTTTATGGTTAATGAAATTTGTCTTTTAGTATGAAAAGCTTATTTTTTTATTTTATTTTTTTCTTATGCCAAAGTCATTGCTCATTTGGTCATCCGACATCTTGCTGCCCAGTATAATTTAGATTTTTTAATATATATATTTAAAAATGTTTTTCTCTTATGTCCGTCAAGGCAGGACATGTAGACACATGTCTACATCTAGACAGATAGTCTGCATCCATTCTTCCTTGATGACACAAGTTACGACTAGGATCCTCAGCCAAGCCTATCTTGTGGAGATGAATCTGCAGATAGTCATGACCAGTGGCCAGGGAGAAGCAGCCAACTGCAACTCTTCTCGATAGTTCAGCTGGAATTGGATTATCTATCAAATACTCATAGTATTTCCCTTCCACCTTGTCCAAGTGTGCTTTTCTAATTTGTTCCTTTACTACAATCTTTACCATTTGCCGTATTGAACTGTAAGGTTTTGGATGTATCGACTGAGGCAAATCTGTTCCTCGCTTGGCAAGATTATCAGCTTCAACATTTTCGGTAATCCCACAATGGCTGGGAATCCACTGTAGGACTACATTGGTGCCTCGGAGTGTCAGGTTACAGAGGAGGGATTTGCACTCCAATATAGCACTCAATAGACATTCATTCGTGTTTGTAACAACGAGAATGGCAGCTTGAGAGTCGATGAAGAGAAAAGCGTTTTGGTCCCGCCTTCTAGACAATGTTCTTAAAGCTATGAGGATCACCGCTATCTCACCATCGAAAAGTATTCCATCTTTATCTACTCCAGCAGCACTGATTTAGAGTTCTCTCGAGTAAACTCCTGCTCCAGCATTTTTATCAGCTGATTCAGTTGATCCATTATTATAGATATGGAGTCAATCTTGAGGAGGGTACTTTTGAGCTATAGTTTCTAGTGCTAATGTTTTTAGCTCACATTCAGGTGTTTCTTTGTTATCCACCTTATGAAGGTAGCATATATATTACATGCGTGATTGTAAATGGGTAACTGTGGAAGTATAAATGATTCCCTTTCTTCACAGTCAAGCCCTCTTTCTTCAAATAGTGCCATCGCCTTCAGCATGAAGGATTTTTGTGTCTTGAGCCGTTGAGTATGGATTTTGTAATTTTTCCTAGATTCTGGGTCCATTCTTTTCATTCACTCGTGAAGCCACATAGCAGCTCGCTCACGCTGTTTCGAGAGGGGTTCTGCTGTGATCTGTAGTTCCATAGCTACAACAGGGGTTGAACACAGCACCCAAAACCAAAGCAGAGCTTTGTTCTGCTGGCTGTCCAGTCTTTTCAGGGATGCATTTACAGCAGTATAGATGACCTCAGATCCACCATCTCTTCAATTTGTCTGTTCCAGATCATTTTTGTATCTGACCTAACTCCCAGATGATTGCCTGCATAGGTTCTTGGCAAGGGAACATTATTATAGATGATTTCCAGTTTGTACTCTTTGGTTGATAAGGTGAACAGTTGGAATTCATTTTTCTGCGTATTTACTTCCATTTCATTACACTTGGCACAGGTAAAAAGTCTTGCCATTGCCTCATTAATAGCTGCTTCGAGTGGTATTTTGTTGCTACCAGTCACATATACTAGTAGATCATCAGCAAAAAGCAAAGCAGGTATTCCCTTGAGTACAGACACTAAGTCATCTATCATTATATTAAAGAGTGTGGTGCACAAAACAGAGCCTTGTGGAACTCCTTGGCTAAAAGTTCTGAAGCTTGAACAACAGCCATTGTATCCTATCACCAGGATCTTAGTTCTAACCTCATGTTTCTTCTTGAATTAATTTTAATGATATATATGTATTTTTTAAAATTAATTCATTTATTTTTCCAGTACACTAAAGAAACATTAGAAGCTAGACAGTCACTTGAAGATGCTAGAGACAGGCACAAAGAAATTTTAAAAATTGAAAAAGCCATTGAAACAATCAGAGAAATGTTCTTTGACATTGCAATGCAGGTGACCCAACAGGTGACCAATTAATATTTGCACTAAATAAATTTCAAATTATGACAATAAATTCCTACCCATTATTATAATTCTATTTATAGGGAGAACTGATAGAAAGAATAGAGTATCACATAGGCGATGGTTATGAAAAGACCTTTAAAGGGCATACAAAACTGAAAATAGCAGAAGAATTAATGAGGAAAGCTAGGAAGGTATAACGAAATCGGTTGTGTCGAACATCCAGAATCCTAACTGTAATTTTATTAATTCCTTTTTTTTTTTTCTTTTTCAGAAAAAATGCTGGTTAATAATTTGTCTACTGATAGTTATCGCAATAATTTTTCTTTATGTACTAGCGGAAATATTTTTAATACCAAATTAGATGCATTACCAACTGTGTGAAAGTTCCAAAGATAAAATATATGTACATTATTTATATAAAAACATTCTATATTATATACAATTTTTTTTTTTACCTTTGCAATGTATATTTTATAAAAATAAAATTGCTCATTCAAATGTTAATTGTTTTAATACTAACAGTGTTTTAAAATTTATATACATAAAATATCCTTTAGTGCAGCTCATGAGACATAAACCAACTATGACATGCATAACCTGAAAAAAAATAATTCTGGTTGGTTTTATTATAATAAATAAGGTATACCTACTTAGTTTTTTTTTTTTATTATTATTTTTTTATAACAATCCATATTTACCCAAATAGGTCATTAGCAGCTTTGCCAATATTTAACTCACCTCAAAGCAATAGTGGATACAGTATTTAATTTTTGGAGCCTTTTTATTTATTTTTTATAACAGTAACTGCTCTGCAATAAAAATAAAGAAACTAACATATGTGAAATGATGTTTAAATGGTCCTTGAATGCCTGTTAAAAAAATTAAATAAATAAAAAGGCCTAATTACAGGAACAATACTTTTAGAGATAATTTTTTCTTGACACATTAGCATCTGCTCAAAAACCATAAAATCGCTTAACTTGATGACAGCTTAAATTGCCTTAAATATACAAAATTAAATTTAATAGATAAAGCAATACATTACATAGAAACCTTCCTATCATAAATATTTTTTTCACAGTAGTATTCACTTACTAAGTTCAAATTTAATATGAATAATTCTAAAAGCTATAATATATTCAATTTAACTCTAATGCTTTTATAACTATTGATCCTAGTCAGTCAATAATACTTTTGCAGATTTCTTACCCTATATGTCCAAAATCTTGTTCATCTTCTTTTCCCAACATAGAAGCACTAGTGGAACCAGGATTTAATTTTTTGGGGAGGCCTTCAGCCTGAAAGCTCTTTTTTTAAACATATATAATTATTACTTTGAAAGAAGAAGAAAGATCCTAACTACCTCTACATGAAATCGTGTATAAGTGGTTCTTGAAGTCCCATTAAATGTAATTACACGAAGAATAATACTTTAAGTGATACTTTTATTTGTGAGACATGGTTATATTTTACCATTTTTGGGCAGCCCGTGACATGAAATCTTGGATTGTATTAGACTATTTGAGAAAGCCATCGCAAGAGGCCAAGACTTGACAAATTGTAGTGCCACTTAGATAGATATATTTGAAAAAAATATCTTTCATCAAGAAGAAAAGTGGAAGGAAGAGAGCATTATTCACCAAACTGCTTTTTTACAATTGAATCGACAAAATTAATTTGTTTACATTTAATTTAAATTGAGGTGGGAAAAAACAAATAAAGTACACGATCAGTACCCAAAATATATATATATTTTCTCATAAATTTTTATATGATAACATTCAACATACTGAATCATAGTAACAAACGATATTTAATACCCATACAATTAAAATTTATAATATTCAGTCAACAGTATAAAATTTCTTTTTTTTTTTTTTATTAAATGATGATGTATCATTATTTACACATATAAATTGCAAATCACAGCAGCAGTCCCAATCCATCATCATAATCTATTTTTTTTACAGGGAACTGGTGAAACTCAACTGCATATGCATCACAAAGGTAACACTTAATGACCCAAAAAGGGCATAAAGAACAAAACAATGCAGGAGAGTTTATGATGACGGCTAGAAAGTATAACAAAATCGTGTATTAAATCCAAAACCTAGCCTCCGTCACATTTTATTTATTAGTTTTTTCCTTAACTGATTTAAGATAAAAAAAGTCATAGCTACCATTGCCCTATGTTATTAGTAGAAATATTTTTAATATTCTAATTTTTTTTTTAACCATGTCCTTTTTAATAAGGTTTTGATTAAAATGAAATTGTTCGTGAACAGTGTTGTATTTAAGTAATCAAAGCACTTAACATATCTCTTGCTCTGGGTCTTTTTTTATAATCCTCTTCAGTGCACCAATTAAATAGAGCGACTATGTCATTGTATTCAGCACCCAAAGAAGGTAATTCAGGACGAGTCCCTAGAAACAAAATGAGTGCTTAAAATAGAAAAATTCTCTTTATCACAAGAAATATTATTGGATTTTTAATTAGTGATATAGTTTATCACAAAATTAGGATATAAAAAGACATTACATACCTGGTGTTTCCATTCGTAAGACTTTATACTTTGCATGTAAAGTCCGAACCAAAAGTTGTTAGCTGTATATTGGCTGATGTTAGTTCGATTAAGAGGATTTATTTTCTTTTTTTTTTTTTAATTTAGTTGTGTAAACAATTATTTTTCAAATAAGTATTTTGAATGTTTAGCAAGATTGGTGGTTTCCCAATTTTAAAAAAGGATGATTCCTCAATGCTCCTTACTTTGTCACTAATAAAATAATCCATAAAGACCTTAATGTTCCATATGTTTCCGATTTAACCCAATCCAAATACCTATCCTTCCATAATAAACTTCATAACCATCCGAATCCTCTTGTTTCTAACCTTGCTTCCTCTTTAATTTCTGATAACCCTCCCAGGAGTCTGAAAAGAAGATGGCCTCGTGATCTCCTCATGTAGACATATTATTAGAGTACTACCAATGGGTAGTTTCTTAACAAGCGTTTTCATGTGATTATATTCCTGTGTACACATTTACTTGATGTATTTATACTAATACAGTTGTAAATATCATAATAAACAATTTTTAAAAAAGGATGGGTACTAAGTCCAATTCACTGTATACTTGTCAATACTAGTCCAATTAAGATTTTTTTTTTGTGTGTGTGAGAAGGAGAGTAAAATAAGTAAAAGCTCGGAATCGCAACCGACAGTATTGAGTTTAACCTGAATCCAGTAATTGAATACCATAATTATATAAAAATAAATAAAATCAATAACTATTTACCATAAGGTTCTTCTACAGAATCGTCCAACAGTTCTGATTTACCAGTCAAGTCCATTAAGGATTCATCAAAACTATCCACATGTGGTGATTTCAGTGTAAGCATTTCATAAATTGTGAGCCCGAAAGCGAAAATATCAACTTTTTCTGTGATAGGTCCATCTTCTAATGCTTCTGGAGCTGTCCAAGGTAATGTTCCGATATATTCCTCATCTGAGGTCCCATCTTCACCAATATTTAAACTCACCCCAAAGTCACATAACTTGATAGAATTTAGTTGCCCTAAATAAAAATTAGAAAAACTAAATTAAATGTACTAATAAACTAAATAAGTAAGAAAGGTCTGATCATACTTTATTGATCAGTGGAAGCTGATCCAACAATAACCACAGCTCATACTAAATAATTTAAATTTATTGAAGGAAGTTAGTCGACTGTTCTACATATCATGGGTGATAAATATGTAATATACATAGATATGAATGAAATACACATATTTCATTTGTAATACTTGTATTGTAATATTATTTATGTAAATAATATTGTATATATTTTTTCATTATTAATCATTATTAGTCTTATAATATTATATCTCTCAATTGCATTTAAAAAAATTGTCAGCCCTGATGATGACCCACATGTTTGAGTGGAAACGTCGGCACTAATAAAAAACCTTATAATGACTGCGTCCTGAATATTTATCACCCATAATGTAAATTTATATACCTTCAATATTTATATACTTGAATATTGAATTTAAATAAATAATATGTAAATAACCTTTTATTAATATATTGAATGATTTAATATCTCCATGAATTAATTTTTCATCTTCATGTAGATATTGAAGGGCTCGACTAATGCTTGCTACAACTTGATAAATTGTGGAAGGAGATAAGGCATCATAACTGTTGCAAAAACTTTCAATTAAATCACCTAAGGATTGAGTGCATTCTTCCATTAACAGAACCTAGAACAGTAAATAGTTCAAATGGATTAATCATAAATAATGACAACGCATAAGAATAATACAAATTATGTAATAATAACTATTCATACTAATAAGCACTAACTAGTATACCCCCAAGAACTCTTGCATTACACAGCTATCCTCTCCAAAACATCGCAAATACAAGCGACATCAGCGAAATATGTTTATTTGTATATCCAATATAATACTTTCACAATAGTCTATTCCACATAAACAATTATTGAAACTTCTTATTTTACCACAACTATTAAAGTAACAATTTCCTTAATAAGCCATTAGCTTATACCACTGAGAAATATCTCTCTTGTTCAATACTTAAGCAATAAGATAAAACTATTGTTGAACTTATAGTAACCCATTCTTGTACACCTTCAAGATAGGTTTTTCCGCATGAAAATGGGGACTGAGTTTTCTTCTATCAAGCAAATAAAAGCTAGAGCACCTTAGGGCAGTGTCTTGGGTCCTACACTTTTCTAAATTTATTGCTCAGACATCCCACAACACTCAGAAATACTGTTGGCTACATTTGCTGATGACTCGGCAAGACTTAACATCCTACAAAGATGCAGCTAAGGCTTCTCAGGTACTCCAAGAACATCTATACGACATTGTTGTGCTATGGAAAAGCTGGAGGATACAAATGAATGAATCCAAGAGCCAATATATTTCAGTTACACTTTGACATAAATCATCTTAAGTATTTTTTAACATCTCTATACCGAACTAAAAAACATTACGATATTTGGGTCTCTACTTGGACAAATGACTCACATAGACATGCTACATGAAAGAAAGAAGAAAAGAACTTAATTATGGACTTCTTTCTACGCTACTTGACAAACATTCTAAATTATCAGTGACTAACAAATTAACTATTTACAAAATCCTAATTAAACCTTTAACATTTAATCCTTTTGACATATAGTATTGAGTTATAAGAAACAGCAGAGACAACAAATATAATAAAAAGTATTCAATCGTAGCAATCAAAAGTTCTCTGGGAAATTGTATACAGCCTCTTTTGTGTTTCTATTCTTACCTTACACATCGATCTTGACATTCTTTTTATAACAGAAACTGCCACAGACTGTTTTAATAATTATCATGACAGACTGACTCTAAATTCAAATTCACTAACTCAAGCTCTATCTACTGCCACAAATCCATATGATGAACCCAGAAGACTGCTGAGGTTCTTTCCAAGAGACTTGCTGCATTGAGCTACTTGCTGTATTATCTTATGCTTTTGTGTCATGTTATTTTATTCTTGTTTAGTTTTGTAATTTACTTATATATATATTTTTTAACTAGTTTTGAAATTCATACATCTTCTTGTTTTTGTTGGCTTTGTTTTGTCTTTCTTGATACCATATATATTTCTTTATATCATATTTGTTTAATACAGTAGTAGATAGCAAATTTATTCTGTCAGAAATATGTGCATCTTATAAATAAATAAATAATTTTTATTGCACCAGAACCAAATTTCCTTGTGTAACATAAAATTAAAATCTTATTCCAATAAATACAACTCTAATTGTTTTTTAATTACCTCTCTGCCATCAGGTATAGTGATGAAGCCACGGAATCCTACAATATTTGGATGGTTCAAAGAACTCAAAATTTTGGCCTCCTTGTACAGTCTTTCTGAAATGATCTTTCTTTGAGCTCTAGTATTTCGTTTTTTTATGGCCCAAGGAGAACGCTCATTACCAAATCGTGGCGATCTATGAAGATGGTAGACACTCACACCTTAAATGGTAAAAGACTTTTTATACTAGTTTCTTGTAAAGTACAATTCAATTGATTAGAAGAAAACAAGTTTACTTGTTCCGAATCCTAATTTGGTCATTGCTGGTGTTTGTGGCAATAGAAGTGGAGAGAAATTCCCACTATTATTTTCTCCTTTATAACTCGATTTTGGGGTGCACGGTATTTCCATTATTAAAACAAAATTGAACAGCAACAGGACAGAACCCGCAATAATTCAAATCCACAGCATTGCCAACATCAAACTCAGCTAGTTGGACAAGTATTTATTTGGTAATTATTATAACAATTTCTTTAACATTGCTTTTTAAATAATTAAATGCAGTATTACTGAAATTTTCCATATCTTGATAACGATTTCAAAAATATATTTTGTAGATGGAAAATTTATTTACCTCCCCCCTCCAACCACACTAGAGACGGAAAATAAATTGAAATATTATCAATAACGATCAATATTATCGAATTTCATCAACTGATCTATTAGTTTTTGTTTTATTTAGTTAGATACGTTCTTCATATCATTTGACTAATTTCCCTCAAGAAAATATTATTTATTTAACTCACTTCATTTGTTATTTTAACATTTTTTTTTACGAACTTCCTCAGGCATTGTGTGCGCCATGGCGGGGTCTAATAGTAAATTCTGTTTCCTCCGTTGTTCGTAAAAGTCTGTTTCCCTTTAATTCGCCACTGAGTCTCAAATACACTGTTTGTTTTTATAAAATTCCATGAACTCTGACAAAACAGTGTTTGTTTAAAAACACAATAGTCCTAATCCAGTTAACATTCTATAATTCTGTCAATTGTATTTATCAGTATATATGTGAGTTTATATATTGTTCGTGACGTTCCTTATGAGAACCATTAGTCGGATACTGGCAGATTCATGGGGAGAGGAAGATTCCGGCTGAAGTCTCCCCAAAATGGACAATAATTTTTTTTTCATTGCTCCATGTTTGTTTCTGAATAATCTGAGCTAAATATTTAATCAATTAAAATATGTACTCGTTTGAAATTATAACGTATGTAATTTTTAAAATTGAAAAACACTAAAATTAAATGTAAGCACCACGTCAAGAAACGATATATACAAAATTCATTCCTTTTTTATAAATATTTATTTTTTAAACAGGCCTTCAAGAACCACTTAATCATTATTTGATGTAGTTTATTTCTTTTCTTTTTTCATATTAATTAAGGTTATTTAGAAAAACCAGAAAACCCAAAATTAAATCCTGGATCTGCTACTGGTGTGGGAAGAGGGTTAAAAAATTCTTGACCATTATTAATGCCAAGAGAAGAGTGGAGATAGTTATGAGCAGTTATTCTCAAAGGCTGCAAAAGCTCATGTTTTTGTCAAATTAAGTAGTGGAGTTATCAGAAGATGAGAGAATAGTGATAGAAAGCACAGTTAAATTGAGGAAGGACAAACGACTCACATGGAATCCTCATACAAGACTGAAACGACTACTCCAACACTTACTGGACAAACACTCTAAGCTTTCAATCAATTACAAACGACTCACGACGTTTCAATCAACAACAAACGACATACGACAATAAAAAGATCTCTTTGGAATTACGGAATTGAGCTTTAGGGCTGCACTAAACCATCGAATTCCAAGTATCCAATCCTTACAATCCAAAATCCTCAACGCTCCTTACTTTGTCACTAATAAAATCATCCATAAAGACCTCAATGTTCCATATGTTTCCGATTTGGCCCAATCCAGATACCTATCCTTCCATAACAAACCATTCCCAACCCTCTAGTTTGAAACCTTGCTTTCTTCTCGATCCCTGATAACTCTCCCAGGCGTCCGAAAAGAAGATGGCCCCATCATCTCCTTATGTAGACATATTATTAGAGTACTATCAATGGATAGTTTCACAACAAGCGTTTTCATGTGATTATATTCCTGTGTACACATTCACTTGATGTATTTATACTAATACAGTTATAAATATCATAATAAAATTTTTTTAAAAAAGGATGGGTACTAAGTTCAATTCGCTGTTTACTTGCCAATACTAATCCAATAAAGATGATTGCTCATGATAGAGCAAGAAATCATCCTCTACCTTAACTATAGCATTTTGAAGGAATAGAAATGTTATAAGAGTCCCAAATTACTGTTGATACCATTCTCAGCTTGAAAACATGGTGTGGTGTACAAGTCTGTTATTGTAGTTGAGCACCTTAGTCTAGCCAAACACACAGGATAAGACAAAGGCTGAGAAGCAGTTTCACTGATCAGAACGTAACTTCAGATAGCATGTACATACCCACACATTGCGGATGTGTTGCTTTTTAGTCGAGCAGGATAAATTTAGATTTGGTTGAGATAGACATCATGGCTTATTATTAACACATTATGTTGTACAGAGAGCAGCATTGGGTTTCCCCGTATATATGGAAAAATGATTCTTTGTAAATTTTCTTTCTCGATGCAATATATGCTAGTGATTTTTTTAAAAGGTATTTTTAAATTAATAATGATTTTATTTTTTTGAATCAACATCTAATAACAGCAATGAATTTTAATACAAAAAACAAATTCTATATCATCAAAGGTAAAATTTTTGTGTAATATTAGTATTACATTGAGGATATGAATACATTTTTTCATTACTACCTTTTAAGCTTTAATTGTTTATCAGAACAAGAAATAATAGTTTCAACCTCATCACACCACAAATTTTGAAATAACCAATAATCAACTACTAAATATTTATTATAAGATTATTGGTTATTTATATATCATATTAATTATCATTTGATTAATATGGTAGTAAACATACTGCAATAACCAATTATTGAACTTATCACAATTGAGGGAGCCACCTTTTTGCCATGATTTTTTCTTCACTTCTTTCCTTGAATGCCCATAAGAAAGCTTAGGTCTTGGTGACTCAAGTTGACAAAAACAAAATTAGTGAATATAAAATATAACATAATCTGCAATCAGGAAAGTATAGCAACCATTTTATGAAGCATCACATATCGTTTCATTATTGTAATGTCATGATTTATATCTAATTTGATACACTCTGTTTCAGAGGAATCGCAAAATATATATATATATATAACGTATCACTACCTAGAGAGCCTACGGCCATCACGGTAACTTTCAGCTGATATTCATACAGGCTTTGGCCAGTCAATATGTACTTACCATCCTGCCTTCAATTGGTCTGCCATCTGCCACTGAGCCAGCAGTGGACTAGATAGGTTTTCATGGTCTCCTATAGTCACCTCATAAATAGCATGGATTAGCTCATATTTCTGCACACAGGCAGAGATTTGATTATTAGAAAAATCACTGTCGAAAAATAGAAGCTGACCAACACATTCCATTTGATTAATATGTTAATAAACTTTGTTTATAAGTCCTAAGAGAGATGTTTATTTATCTAAGGTATACGAATAAAGTTAAGTAGCAGCTTACTGTCCCAAAAATTGTTTTCTTTATTTTTATGACGTTTCGGGATTACATTTATTATTCTATCTTTAGACCGCATCTCATCTTTCTATCATTTATTTTTTTTTTTAATTGTTATAATTTTTATTTCTTTACATTTGTTTTGTATATAAATCATCCCTTCGTTATATTGTGGACTCCTCCAGGCTCTCTGTGGAGGAATCCATAATATACGGTCTGAAGATGGGATAATAAATGTGATCCGGAAATGTCATAAAAATAAAGAAAAAAATTTGTTGGGCGAGTAAACTGTTACTTAGCTTTATTCATAGACCTATGTTAATAAACTTTCCTTTTCGTTATTTAATTAATTCAAAATTTATTTACAGTGAAAGAATAAACGTATTGGTAACAAAGATCTGGATTTTAATGCAATTGCATATTTTATTTGCTTGAATTTTATTAACTGTTGATCAAATATATATACCAATCAGTGTACCCAGATGTAATTAGACAAATTTTATATGGCATATTTTGATAATTTTAAATTAAAAATAATAATAGTAATTAGAAACAATGAATTAAAATAGAACATATTTGAAGATAAATTTCTACAATACAATTGTACATTGATTTTTAATCAACAAATATTGCTACCTTCAGTAATTGACTTCTTAGAATATGGATTTTTTTTTTTTCATTTCCTGGTCTATTCCTTTGAAATTCTTAACAATAGACTCAGCTTCAATTTCATACTTTATTTTACAAGTGGTTGTATTTTTTATAATTTTAAGTGCATCTTTTTTTTTTTAAATTGAAATAAATATAAAAATTTATTTGTTGACTTAGATCTGATCACATCGTTAACTAATATCTAATTAATAAGTGTTTTACTAACTCTGTTCATGTTAGCAATTAATTTTTTATTGAAATACATTCCTTATTTTATTTTATTTCGAGTTGCAAATTATATTTTACTGTTTAGTAAGTTTTTGTCATTATGTTTTTAATTATTAACAACTATGTGTTTATTTGTTTTAAACTATTTTCATATTTATGTCTTTTTTAACTACATAAGTTAGTTATCATTTTTATATACAATTACCTCTAGCTGTTTATTTGTTAATAATTGAAACTTCGTAATACTTTGATATTTTAGTTCTTAAAAAGTATTTTTATAATCTTTTTAATCATTAATAAATATGTATTTGTATTTTACATAATTTTTGATCCTTCTTATTTTTTTTTATTGTTGCAAACAATTTTGTAGGCACATTAGTGTGAATATTTCAGATGTTTTATAGCATATTTAGTTGCATTTTAGATTTTTACACTGCATAATAGTACAAAACAAGATTTCTTCCATGAAAATAAAAGTTGAGAGGAAGAAAACTTAGTTCACCAGACTGATTGTAATCAAATTTATTTGCATAATTGGTAATTGGTTGACTGTCGTGCATAATGAAGAAAAGAATAGTTGGGGTGGTCAGTCAAAAAGGAAGGCAAAAATAAATGATAATATTTATTTTTACGTATGCCGACGTTTCGACCTGAAGTTCAGGCCTTCATCAGGGCTGTCTCCTTAAGTGTTGCAGGGAGAATGTTTCAAATTTGTTTACGGTTATTAGAAATTGAGGTGGGGAAAAATAAAATACATGATTACTTCCCAACAATACATATATTTTTCTCTCTCATTAATTTCTAATGACTATTATAAAAAATACCATTTAAAATACTGAACCATAATAACACATGGTAATGAATATCCTGTAAACTAAGTAAATGAAATATATAAAATTTAATCAACAATATCAGTCTAATCTAGATTTCGCTAAAAAAAAACAATCTAATAACTAAAAACACTGATGGTTCACATCATAATACTTTAGAAAAAAAAAAAAAAATGTGTAAGCTAGATTAAAGATGTAGACAAAAACTTAAAAAAGACATTGTAATGGCACAATGGTTAAGTATTAATATTTACACACATAAATTGCAAGTCACTACAGTAATCCCTAGCTATCATTCTTTGTTTTTTCAACACTCTTAATGCCAAATGATAATATACCGTAAATGCGAGCACATCTCAACATTTTCTATAGTTTTAGTTGCCACTAAAAAGGATAAAGGGAGAACTGATAAAACATCTATCACAAAGGTAACGCTTATTTACACAAAAAGGGCATAAGGAACAAAATAATGCAAGACAGCTTATGATGAAAGATAGAAAAGTACGACAAAATCATATATTGAATCCAAAACGTAGATTTTGCCACATTTTATTTATTAATATTTTTCCTTAATTGATTTAAGAGAAAAAAAAGTTATAGCTATCATTGTCCTGTGTTATTAGTAGAAATATTCAATCAGAAGGTTCCCAAACTGAGTAAAGAATGCATAAATACACATATGCTTATGTTCTAAAGATAAAATTTAATATAAAAACGTACTATGCAATTTAAAAGTCTTTGTTTATCACATTATTTTATAATATATCTTAAATGAAAATCGCTCATTTAAATGTGAACAGCATTATTGTACTTAGGCAATCAAAACACTTAACATATCACGTGCTCTTGGCCTTTTTTTATAATTCTCTTCAGTGCACCAATTAAATAGGGCAACTACGTCACTGTATTCAGAACCCAAAGGAGGTAATTCTGGTCGGGTACCTAGAAAAAAAAAAAAATCATTAAAATTACAGAAAGACAATTATATTTTAAATATTAGAATCAGAATTAAATTTATTATTACTAATTTGTTGTATTTTTAATGCAAGAAAACATTAAAAATAAGGATTCACCTTCAGAATTTCTGTATCATAAACCATCCTCAAGATATAAAACAGTGAGTGGTGAGAGTGTCATCAGCGTACAGGATTACTCATGGTAAAATATGGGGCCAGATGCACTTATTATATAATTATTATTATTGTTATTTATATTATAAACAAAATTGGTGATAGGCAGTGGTAGAAACTCTGTTAAAGAATGAACTCACTTCCATTACAGAGAATCATTATTCCACTTTACTTTGTTCATTATTACATCATTTAGTCACCACTTTTGTTTAACTTTTTTTTTTTATAAAAATAACACAAATTGTATATCAGTTGCTCAAAAATTGTCATTATTAACAACCAACACTCTTCCACAACAGAAAAATCCATCACACCTATCATGAAAAAGTTTAATAAACAGGATGTTCTGTGGCTCCGGAGTTCCTGAGGATGGGAATAAAAAGCGTTTAAGAGCTTTAAGGAGAAAACTTTAGGCAAGTTTTATTGAAATTGTTAAACATTTTAGCATTAGTCTGGAAAAACAAAATTTTAGGCTATTTTGGGATACTGAATCTGAGGTATCAAAAAAAAAAATTCCATTGCATTCCGAGATATATGCAAAAAAATGCAAAGTTTTTTGGACATGACTCCGAAACTAAGTATTTTATCGAGATTATTATTATTTACAAGGTTACAGAAGACAAAATCTACTATCAATAAATTTTGTGAATAGATTTTTCATATAGGAGGAAAAGTTATAGCATGTTGATGGTTTTCTTATTTCACAAGAAATATCAGCTTTTGTCGGGTTTTCGCCAAAGTCTTATAATCAATACATTTCACGAAGAAATTCATTATTATCAATTTGAAAGAGCATTTAATTTCTTATATACTTCATGTAAACATGTTAATATATGAGAATGTTAAACAGCTGCTAAAGAGCACGGAATTGAAGGCATATTTCACTTGTAGCATCTGCCGCATTCAACTTAAGCGCTTTATATCTATTCAATGCTTTTGGTTCAGCTTATTTAACTTATTTACAACAGAACTAGAACATATCAACAAATTACAGTTTTTTAAAATATTTTGTTAGTATAAGCGACATCAAAATTCATAATAATCAAAACATTAAGGACCGAAATGCACTTTAAAGTCCCAGCGCTCTAATGGAAAATCACTTATATTATAGTAGTAGGTACCGGTTTTCTTATTAGAAATAGATTTCTATCCGCCTTGAGAGATGTACAATACTTTAGCAATAGGATTTCGGTGGCCATATTCCAGGGGTGTTGGTTTAAAATCGCGTTAATAAACATACACTGCCTCACTGAAGACAGTGATGATGAAGGCAAATGAGAATTTAATGATAAACTAGAGTGGGTGTATGATAAACTACCGTGAAGCTGCATGAAAATAATTTTAGGGGACGCTAACGCAAAGGTGGGAAGGAAAGAAGTTTATTTTCCGACGATCGATAAAGAAAATTTGCACGAATATAGTAATGATAATGGAATTCAACTAATAAATTTTGCCATCTCGAAAAACCTGCTAATTAAAAGTATAACGTTTAAACATAAGGATATTCACAAATATACTTGGACATCACCGGATTCGCAAACACGAAATCAAATCGATCACATCTTAATACAACATAAGTGGCAGAATAGTATAATTAACACTGAATTGTATGCGATTAAAATTGCTGGGATTAGTAACGAAACAATTTCTAAAAAAATAATATGTGCTGTACCGACTGGCAAGCATCCGAGGGGTAGACCAAAGTGAAGGTGGTAGATTGCGTTAAGGCTGATTTGGGTTTAGACGGAGCCCGGTGGATGGAAGAATGTGGACATCGATTGGTGGTATTGGCATCGAACCTTTGGGTTCGTTAAGCCTTATTATTATTATCATAACAGACCATATAAAAGATATGTAATTTGTTTGTACAATCCAATTCTGTTAAAAATAAGTTAAAGTAGCTGAACCAAAAGCATTGAAAAGATATAAAGCGCTTAAGTTAAGTGCGGCCTCGCGCTGGCTCATTACCACGTATGGGGAGCGTACCACGGGTGGCGGATGTGGGGATGGTCGATGGAAATTCCTCCCGGCTAAGTCCGATGGACTCGCTGACCAACAATGAGAGGGGCCCTCCAGACTTGCTGGAGGGAGGGGCCCTCCAGACTTGCTGGAGGTAGGGGCCCACCAGACTTGCTGGAGGGTGTGACGTAGGATTGAACGCCCTACTCACATATCTTTAGTTCACCAACCACAAAAAGTCATGGATCTCCCTAAGGTAAAACGCTCATTATCCGAAGGTAAACTAGTCCCCCGTTCGGGTCTCCGGGTGGGGACTGCTTTAGGGGATTCATGGCGCAAGTTGAAATATAGGGATTTAAATATTGGTACGTGGAACGTAAGGAGTTTAAACACAGCAGGGGGGCTAAAATCGGTCGCGAATGAGGTAAATGGGTACAATTTGGATGTCGTGGCTCTGCAAGAGGTTCGCTGGCCAGGGGAGGGCTCGATGAGGGAAGGAAAGTACACTATTTGGTACGGAGGAAGCGGGAAACATTGTTTAGGTACCAGGTTTCTAATTAGGAGTAGATTATTATCCGCTTTGAGCGACGTACAATTCTTTAGTGATAGAATTTCGGTAGCTATATTTCAGGGACGTTGGTTTAAAATCGCATTAATAAACATACATTGTCCGACCGAAGACAGTGACGATGAAGTCAAAAGTGAATTTTACGATAAACTCGAATGGGTTTATGATAAACTACCGCGAAACTACATGAAAATAATTGTAGGTGACGCGAACGCAAAGGTAGGAAGGGAAGAAGTTTATATTCTGACGATTGGTAAAGAAAGTTTGCACGAATATAGTAATGATAATGGGATCCGTCTGATAAACTTTGCCATCTCGAAAAACCTGATAATTAAAAGTACGACGTTTAAACATTAGGATATTCATAAATATACTTGGACATCACCGGATTCGCAAACACGAAATCAAATCGATCATGTCTTGATACAACACAGCTGGCAAAGCAGTATAATCAATGTACGGTCTTATCGCGGAGCAAAATGTGGGTCGGATCATGAATTAGTAATCGCGAAACTTCGACAAAAACTTAATATAAGAAAGAGAAAAGAAAACCATTTCGATTTTGAGAATTTAAATTTGGAAAAATTAAAAAATCCATCAATTAGAAACCAATTCGAGCTAGATGTTAAGAATAGGTTTGAAGCTTTAGAGCTTCCTGACGAGGACCAAGAGGATATTGACAAGTTATGGGTAGAGATCAGGGATAATATAAAAGCGGTCGGTAACTCGTGCCTAGGAAAAAAGGAAACTAAGAATAACAAATCGTGGTTTGATGAAGATTGCTTAAACATGTGCGAAAAAAGAAAAGCCGCTAAATTAAAAGCTCTAAATAATCCTAACGAAGACAATCTGGAATATTTCCGAATCTCAAAGAACGAAACGACTAAATTGCTCAAAAATAAAAAAAGGGAGTATCTTAAAAATAAAATAATTGAAATAGAAACTAATAGAATCGAAAATAACGTAAGAGACATGTACAAAGGTATAAACAGATCACGTAAATATGTAGGGCCCGTAACGTCTGGAATTAGGGATGATAATAACAATATTCTGACCGATCCGGTTGACATATTGAATAAGTTTAAGGACCACTTTGACAATATTTTAAATACGGGAAATTATGATCTGTGTCCTCCGTCTGAGTACCAGAGTGCTGAACCGTTAATAGAAGGACCAAGTAAAGAGGAAGTTGAAGTAGCTATCGGAAAATTAAAATCATATAAAGCAGCGGGAATCGATAATATTCCTACTGAACTAATTAAGGCATGCGGGGAAGCTGGAGTTTCTATAATACATCGGTTGGTTAAAAAGATCTGGGTGAACGAGAAATTACCTGAAGAATGGAAAGAATCTATTCTTATTCCGATTCACAAAAAGGGTCTGAGGACGGATTGTAATAACTATCGAGGAATTTCACTCCTTCCGGTATGTTATAAAATATTCACTTCAATCTTAACCAGTCGAATCACGGAATACGCCGAGGAAATTATCGGAGACTACCAATGCGGATTTAGACGGAATCGTTCGACTATTGATCAAATATTTTCTTTGCAGCAAATATTAGAGAAAAAATTGGAGTATAACGGTATTGTTCACCAGCTGTATATAGATTTTAAAAAGGCTTACGATTCTATTGACCGCCAGAAACTGTATAATATTCTAATCGAGCAGGGGATTCCAAAAAAACTAGTAAATCTAGTCAGGATGTGCTTGACGGAGACACTCAATAAAATTAGAATCGGTAATAATTTGTCCGAAAAATTTGAGGTTCGTTCGGGCTTAAAACAGGGGGATTCCCTTTCGCCTGTCCTGTTCAATTTGGCATTAGAACATGCCATTAGGGAGGTAATGCGAACCGAGAAAGGGTTGGATCTGGGTGGGACAACATCCGTGCTGGGCTATGCTGATGATCTGGTACTGTTAAGCGAAGACGTTGAAACTATAAAATTAAATACGACAACGTTAATGAAAGCCGGTAAAAAACTAGGACTCGAAATAAATGTAGATAAAACAAAATATATGGTTAGCTGCAAAAATGGCGATACTACTGGTGATATCGATATAGATGGTAATATGTATGAGCAGGTAGATAAGTTTAGGTATCTAGGTTCAACGATAACTAGAAAAAACGAAATTGAAGAAGAGATTAAGGTTAGACTGAAGGCGGGAAATGCTTGTTATTTTTCTGTGACAAACTTACTTAGTTCGCGCCTCTTGTCCCGGAACTTAAAAATTAGAATCTATAAAATAATTATCTTGCCTACAGTTCTTTATGGATGCGAAACTTGGCCGCTTACATTAAGGGATGAGCAGCGTCTTAAGGTTTTTGAAAATAAAGTATTGCATAGAATATTCGGACCGAAGAAGGATGAGTTAACCGGAGAGTTCAGACGGTTACACAACGCCGAATTACGTGAGCTGTATCCGGGTAATATAATTGATGTAATTTCATCGCGGCAAATCAAATGGGCTTGTAAAGTTGTTGGGCTTAGTAACGAGAGAATTCCTAAAAGGTTAATATTTGCTGTGCCGAATGGTAAGCGTCCGAGGGGTAGACCGAAGCGAAGGTGGGAAGATTGTATTAAAGCCAATCTGAAGGGACTGGGTTTGGACGGCGAACGGTGGAGGGAGGTGTGTAACAAGCGATTGGTGGTGTCTGCATGGAACCTTCGGGTTCGCTAAGCCTTATTATTATTATTATTATATTATTATAAGTTAAGTGCGGCACATACAAGAAAAAATACGCATTCGATTCCGTGCGATTTAGTAGCAGCTGCTTAACCTTCGCATATTGATCTGTTTATATGAAGTACATAGAAAATTTATTTAATGCTCTTTCAATTTGATTGTAATGAATTTCTTCGATAGATGCATAGATTATGAGATTCCTAGTCTATCCTAGTCCCACAAATGACAGAAAATAGCTGTTTTGTATTTAAGAGGATTCTACAACACTACAATCTGTGGAATAATGTAGATAATATTTTGACCTAAAGCCCAATACATTCTTTACTTACAAGCAATAGGAAAGAAAAAACACAGTTGAACTTGGCCAAAATATATAATCTACTGAAACCAAGAGGGAGATTAAGTGGTTGGTCGGTATTACAGAACAATAACTGTAGAATTAGATATTCATAATAATACATGACTTCAATTTTTGAATTATCATATTTATTTAAAATACATAAAATATATATTGATATTTACCATAAGGTTCTTCAATAGAATCGTCCAATATTTCTGATTCAACTGTCACATCCATCAGTGAATCATCACAACTATTCTCATGTGGTTGTTTCAGTGTAAGCATTTCATAAATTGTAAGACCAAAAGCAAAAACATCAACTTTTTCTGTGATAGGTCCATCTTCTAATGCTTCTGGAGCTGTCCAAGGTAATGTTCCGATATATTCCTCATCTGAGGTCCCATCTTCACCAATATTTAAACTCACACCAAAGTCACATAGCTTGATAGACTCAAATTGTCCTAAATGAAATTAAATGGATAAAGTTGCATTACAATAAAAATATGCTAATAACAAGATTAAGTACTAAATCTTCCTATCATAACTGTTTCATATTGAGAACAAAAATATTCGAAAAGAATAATTTTTGAGATAACTATTTGATGATTAAGCTTTTATTTTAACAAAATTAAATAAATAATAGACAACCATGTTATAATTATGGATTGGTTTAAGTTGGCTATAAAATGTGTGAAAAAGCAAAGTGAAGGTATCCTTCAGTAAAAAAAAATTAATGAATTGCAGGAGAAGTTAGGTGCAGAAAGAGGCCAGTGGTGAGAAAGGAAACAAATAAGTAACCTTAATTTAATGAATTATGACGTTTCAGCTCAAGTTTTAATATCGGGGCTAATGATGCCACCCTCAGTAAGTCTCAAAGCAAATGCTAAATCTACTTCTCCTATTATCAGTTTTTCAGTTAACAATACCTTCACTATGATAAATAAATAAGATATAAATAACCTTTAATGAGAACATTGAAAGATTTAATGTCTCCATGAATTAATTTCTGATCTTCGTGTAGATATTGAAGAGCTCGACTAACACTTGATACAACTTGATAAATTGTGGGAGGAGAAAATGCTCCATAATCCTTACTGAAACTTTCAATGAAATCGCCTAAGGATTGAGTGCACTCCTCCATCAGTAGAACCTGAAATTTTTAGTAATTGAAACAATTACAATAACACATAAAAAAAACAGTAACAAAAATACATTTAGACAATAATATGTTGATCTATTTCAACAAATCGGTTTGAAATAACTAGGTATAAAAAATAAAAAAATGTAAGAAGTGATGAGTATAAATAGTTACACATTAATGTAATAATTGTGAAAAACAGATCAAAAGGAGTGAAGTATGTGACCAAGATGGTAAAAAATAAAAATAAACAAAAATCATCACAATAATTATTGCACTTTTCCTAAATCAGGTATTAATAGAGGACATAGTTAAATGAGGCAGATCACACCCAATTGTGGTAGAGTTTAAATAAATTAAGTCTATATAGTCATGGTATCCCCAGGCTTCCTCTTTTGACACCTTTCAGAAAAATCATAGGAGTATGGTCCAGCCTTATTAAATGTAAAACTAAGTATTATTTTTTGATAGTACTATAAATTTAAAAATCCATTTTGAATTCAGTAGATTCAAAATTTAACATAAAACTACTACAAGTTTTTCCAATTTAGTTAAGTGTTTTTAATTACCTCCCTGCCATCAGGTGTAGTAGTAAAACCACGGAATCCTACAATGTTTGGATGGTCTAAAGAACTCAAAATTTTTGCCTCCTTATACAATCTTTCAGTGATGTTTCCTCTAAGAGCTCTAGCATTTCTTTTTTTTATGGCCCAAGGAGAACGCTCATTACCAAACCGTGGTGACCTATGAAGATGATAGACACTGACACCTTCAAAGTTAAAAGACATAATGATATATGTTTGTTATTAAGCACTATTGAAAAGTAGAGAATAAGTTTACCTGTTCCGAATCCAATTTTAGTCATAAATGGAGTTTGTGGCATAATGAATGGTGAGGAATTGCCATTTATCGGTGGTTTATCTCCTCCTCTAAAATTAGAAGTCGGGGTGCAAGGAGTTTCCATTGTTGTGACAAAACTTGAAGCTACCGTACGACAGTTGGGACCCGCAATTATTCAAATCCTCAGTCTAGCCAACGTACAAACTTTGAAAGTTAAATTAATCGGTAATTATTTGGTTATAACTATAGCTATTTCAGTAAAATTCCTTAGGAATTACAAAAATATGTTAACGGAATTTTCCATATTTTTTCAGCAATTATTTAAGAATAAAATGAAGCAATTTTAAATTTATTGTTAGTGGATCTAAATGAATTAGTTCCCCCCACCTTACTAGAGATGAAATTTCGATGTGGTTACCAAACCAGCAAGATTTATTCTAAAGACTAATCAACTACCTATGTATCTGTATTGAAAAATAATTCTTTCAAGTTATTGTAATTTTGGACAAATTCCTGATTATTTTAAACAATGGAATGTAAGATTTGGAATTCATTGTGAACATTATCACTATTCTTAATTTTTGTTTAGTAAATACAAAAAAACGGTAATGCTCTTAAAAAACCCTATAATTTAGTCTGTCGTTGTTTCACATAAATTAAAAATAGATAAACAAGAATTTAGTCCATTTTATAAGTCTAAGGTTTCAAATAAACCTTAAAAAACAATCAGAAACTAATTGTCTATACTTCACACTATATAAAACACCAAACTCCCTTAAAATATGAGTAATATGTCACCATAGATTAAGTGCCTCGCTATGATAAAGACAATAGAGATTCTCCTGTTATCAAAAAATAATTTTGTTACTAAAAAGATGAGTAGATGAAAGGGGTATGGAACAGGAAGTGTGTTATTAAACTGCTTTATATATATTTATCTGAATCTGTGTACTCAGATGATATTAATCAAACTTTATATTGCATATTCAATGATATATGTATGTAATTGAACATTTGATGGTTTCAAAGAATTAAAAACAGAAAATAATTAACATGAAGATGAAATTTACTGGTTACAACTATAGATTCATTTTCTATTAACAGTCAATAACTAATAACTTAAATAATGCTATCTACAAATATTGACTTCTTAAAATATGCATTTTTTTAGTTTTATCTCCCCTTCTTATCTCTTTTAAAACTTTAAATACAGTTTCAAATTCAGTTTGCATCGTAGTTTCTTTACTAGAAATAATATTTATTATTTTCTATGCCAAAATTAAGTGCAGCATTTTATTCAAAAATGGAATTTTGGATTGACCTTTACAATACCAATGATGAAACAGTTGTTCAAAATAAGTTCCTTTGGAGAACAAACCCATATTTTGAAATGCATGTAAATTTGCACCATCAAATCTGTTAATGTGGAACGTTCGTCTCATATTATAAAAATATTGCAAACAATAGAAGATTAGGTTTTTCAGAAATAAATTGAGTAATTTATTAATTTTAATGCAGAATGTCTTATAATGTTGTGTTTTGCACTTATATTCTTTTGCAGTGTGATTGTTGACATGTTGTTTACTAATTCGTTTGCATTTTATTTTGTTTACGTTGTAAATTAGTTTTTAAAGAAAATCATTGCTACTTTTCTATTATTACTGATTATAAGATTTTATTACTTGTATGAAGTTAGCTTTAAAAAGTATCTCTCAGTAACAAGCATTTTAAAATATTAAGATACATGTTTTTAATATATTTACAATACATATTTTAAATACATTTAGTTTCTTATGCATTAATTTACAAAACATTTTAACTATTACATTTTAATTATTCTTTTATAATTAATTATCCTTTTTAAATACAATTATACATAGCTGATTTTCTTTTGTTACTAATTGTAAGTTTGTGTTACTTTGGTATTGTAGTTTTGAAAGGTGTTTCTTATTAATTTTTAAGTATTAATATACATACAGCCAAAATAATATTTCATTTTAGTTCATGTTTTTGTTTGATTCCAGATAGATCTTCAACAGACTATCAAACCGCTCATAACCCTTCTAACCAGACTCCTTTCCCAAATCCCGCTTAAACTTCCCTCAATGAACACAAAGCCCCTAGCTATTATCTCATGGAACGCTAATGGACTGCAAAACCACCATGGCGAACTAGACATATTTCTCCATGACAATGATATTGACATTGCCCTCCTAACAGAATCTCACTTCACAAAACGGACACATTTCTAAATACATGACTACATCACCTATAGATCTGACCACCCAGTCAACACTGCCCACGCCGGTTCTTGCATCCTTATCCATAAATCTTTACCCCATTCCCTTATTCCTTCCATTCCAACAGATGTCATTCAGTCAACTTCTGTAATCCTCTCAACTCGTCCTTTCCATCTAACACTTTCAGCTATATACTGTCCTCCTGGCAATTCCCTTTCGTATCACTAGAAAACTTCTCAAGTTCCAAGACTTTAATCATCCACTACTTACTGATTCCCAAACCTGGTCCAAATCCGACGAAGAAAAAGCCAAAATATTTGGTCAACATCTCTTCCAAACTTTTAACCCACATCCCGATATCCTTAATTCAACTCACATTGATTGTATTGAAGCAGAACTGGATATTCCTCTCCATATGTCCCTGCCACCCAAAGCATTTCATCCCACAGAAATATCCAACATCATTCAAAAATTACCCTCCCGTAAAGCTCCTGGACATGACCTAATTACATCCCAGATCCTAAAACTTCTACCTCGAAAAGCCATCCCATCCCTTACTTACATATATAATGCTGTACTCCGTTCCACGATCTATTGTTAAAATGATCCACAAACCAAAAAAAACACCAGAATACCCATCCTCTTACCGACCTATCTCTCTTTTACCCATCATGGGCAAAATCCTAGAAAAACTCATCTTAAAACGCCTGTACCCTATCCTAAATTCTAAACACATAATCCCAGATCACCAATTTGGATTCCACACTTCCCATTCCACTATACAACAATGTCATCCTGTGGTAGACGTAGTCTCCTCTGCATTGGAGCGCGGAATGTACTGTACGGGAGTCTTTCTGGACGTTGAACAGGCGTTTGATAGAGTTTGGCATCCGGGACTACTGTACAAACTCCGAAAATTCCTACCACCTACATACTTCCTTATTATCCGTTCCTACCTAACTGATAGATACTTTAAAGTAAATCACAAAAACGCCTATTCATCCTTTTTTTCCCAGTCCGCTGGTGTTCCTCAAGGTAGTATTCTAGGCCCTATCCTCTATACAGTTTATGCAGCTGACATCCCTACCTATCCCAACACTGTCATCACCACATATGCCGATGACACATGTATCCTATCAGTAAATAATGACCCAGCAATTGCATCTCAAATGCTTCAATCACACATCATAAATCTAGAAGAATGGTGTCAAAACTGGAGAATTAAAATAAATCCCACCAAATTACCTTTACCCTTCGTCGTAAACCAACAACTTCCTGTCCTACAGTTTCCTTTAACAATACTCCACTTATCCCTGTTGAGCAAATCCGATACCTAGGACTCCATCTGGACAAACGACTAACTTGGAATCCTCATACTAGACTGAAATGTCAAGAAACCGCTCAACGTTTCCGATTAATTCAGCACTTACTAGACAAACGCTCTAATCTTCCATTTATTACAAAAGACTCATATACTTGACTATAATAAGGCCTATTTGGACTTACGGAGTTGAGCTACAGGGCTCCACTAAACCATCGAATTCCTCTCGTATCCAATCCTTACAATCCAAAATCCTCAATGCTCCCTACTTTGTTACAAATAAAACCATCCATAATGACCTTAATGTTCCTTTTGTTTCAGATCTGACCCAATCCAGTTACCTATCCTTCCATAATAAACTTCAGAATCATCCCAACCCTCTCTTCTAACCTGTTTCTAACCTTGCTTCCCCTTCAATTCCTGATAACCCTCTGAGGCTTCTGAAAAGAAGATGGCCCTGTGATCTCCTAATGTAAACATGTCATTAGAGTGCTACCATTGGGTAGTTACTCAGCAAGTGTTTTTCAGGTCATTATATACATTATGTTCTAATTGACTAGATGTATTTTTTAATTCAGTTGTAAATGTCTTTAAGAAATAAAAAAAAAAATGTTTTTGTTTGTTACAATATGAGTTTATTATTTTGGTCTATAGAAGAAGATAAAACAAAATTGAAGAGGATGGTTTATTTATTTTTTACCATTTCATTTAGACTGAACACCCCAACAATCCTCTTCAATTATTCACTACAGTCAACTATAAACCCACAATGATAAAAAAAAAGAAGTGAATAATTGTTTAATTTTTAATGTTGCCTCCAATTTCTTTTTTAGTTTCTTGGTATAGAAGCATTAGTCTTAATGTCTTAGCAGTCTTGCTGTATATTTGGAGATTTCTTTCTGCACATTTTATTGCTAATTGTATGGTATATTCTTTGGGTTTTCACTACACAAAAAATTGTGTTCTGGTTATGAGAAAAACTTAATCGTTTTCATTATGGTACTTTAATGTATTTTTTTTTCTTTTTAGTTCTTACTAAAATGAACCAGTCCAATAAGCATTAAAAATTTCATTCACTAAGAATTGTCAAATGTCAAAATTAAATGAAACATGTTAAACAAGCAACTAAAAATACTATATTCACATTTTTCCAAATCAAAATTGAAAATCAGACAAAAACTAAATACATACATATACCAACTCATTTGAATATATGCCTAACAAATTTAGGGTTCTACCAAAAAGATGCACTTAAAAAAACTACAATCATTTCAATCCAAAAATTTTAAGACTAATAAGAGCAGCTCCTTTGTATGTTAACAACAAAACTTTAAATACAGACTTATGACAACCAACACATATATACTATTTACTACCAATTTCATATTAAACTACTCAGACATATCAATGGACTTACAAACAAGATGGGCACTTATGACTTAAAATTGAAATGCCCATCAGATGAATGAAAAAGAGCTGGACGAGAGATCTCCTTTCCTGAATTAAGGAAAAAAATTATATTGCTGAAAGTAAAATCTAGTCCCCCATCAAAAATTAATTACCTTAGATATCAATCAGGTGATAGGAAATCAGTGATAAATACTCATAGGGGAACAAGTAAGAAAAATGTATTCTTATCAAAGAATTGAATGTTTTTTGGAAAGAATGTAATCCCTAAAATATTTTTTTTTAGCGGTATAGAAAAACAGCTTCAACATTAATTTTTGAACACTCGAAAATCTCAAACATTACAGTCAATTTCAAAATTCTTTAAATTTTAACAAAAACGTTTGGGAATGCGTAATATTGAAAACTTCAACTCTGTTAAAAAATAAAGTTTTCATTATTATTTTTAATAAAAGTTATATATCTAAACTTGGTCTGATCTATGTAATATATACATAGGCACCTATAATTCCTGCCTTAAGTTGTTCTTTAAAACTTCCAATGCTCTACATTATTTGATAATAATCGTTATTATAATAGTTGATTATAATATCTGGAATTTCATTTTCAATGTTTCATTTCAATTTTATTTTTTGTTTTTGTCTCTCGGTTAACTCAAGATCTGATAAGATTTTGATGTATTTATGTTCTAAATTAAAAATTTTTGATTTTAAACGTTTTTAGGTGTTAATTACATTTGGATTTATACTGCATGATTTTGCACATTTTGAGATTTTCACTGCACGAAAATCCGGTCTATAGTTATAAGTTATATTTAATGTAGGAATAGGATGTAGCATATATCTTTCTTCCATCAAAAATATACTTTGTTGTCAAATACTTTCTTCACCCTAATCAAAAGCTCAATTTGAAGAAAAAAAGCTGAAAATACTTCTATAATCCACTCATCCTATCATTTATTTATCATTTTAAGAATCATTCAAAAAAACTGGAACTTAGATATTAAAATAAAACCAAACTTAATAAAATTGTGCTAGGTAACTAAATTAAAGCTTTAAATCTAAGTTTTAATTTAACAAAAAAAAACCAACACTTTAAAACAGAGATTGTTTTATAACTAAAATAACACTGATTTTTTTTTCATGTACATAAAATGATATAATTACTATACATAAATATTAAAATAATTCTATAAAATATTATTAAATAATTATGAAAAAAAATATTCACATTAAGGTGTTAAGTACTATTCACAAAGTGAGATACTTTTTCATTTACATAAAAAAGTAATAGTTAAATCTTATTGATATAATATTACAAACTAATAAAGCATTGCACATATCTGCTCAACCAGTAATTCTTATTAACTATTAAGAACATATTTCAGAGAAACAAAATAACTTTTAGACAATTCACTTGGAAAGTTTTCCATTCCTTCAGGTCATAACAATGCATAATAATCTCCATGCCAAATCAGTCTTAAATAGAATAATAAAAATATTTATCCATCAAAAAAATATAAAATTCAAAATGATTCTTTATACTTTATAACAATAAAAGAATAAACAAAAATCTTCATTTACAAGAACATATTAAACATAAAAACAAAGAAGGAATGGTCAACAAAATTAAGAGTTATTTTAATTTTATATACTAAAGAATTGTCACAGAACACGCAGTTAAAATCAGTTATTTGCCTGGTTTCATTATAATTTGTTTCAATAATAAAACTATAAATCAAGTTAAATAAATACAATTAATAAAACAATGAATAAACTTTTCTGTCAGATATAAAAAAAAGACAATCATTATTATCAAAATAAAATAATTAAATTAAATTATTTTCCGATCTATGTTGACTGATAAAATTTTTAGGGTACCTACAGAAACAAAAATAACACTACAAATTCTACATCATTAATTTTATAAATAACACTGTAAATCACTAAACTCTCAAACATGTATATGTACATTTAAAAACACTGATTTTTCTAATAATGAAGATGAATAGAAATATAGTCAATGCCCCTTTAATTTTAAAAATTAAATTTCAATTTGCCAACAGCAAACATTGATATTTAAATTACTACTAACCCTTTTAAAGATAAACTGATTGTAGTATTCAGGAAAAAAAAAAGTGATTTATTAAAGAAAAATATAAGTTACTCAACATATGTTCTACAGCAGTGGTAATAAATGTATATCTTGCCCTCATAATAAATAATCAAAATTTCTACTTCTTGATCAATACTTGACAGTATTGATGGAAGTTTGGCACTTAGCGCTAACTATTGGACATTGGTAGATTGAAAGAAATCCATCTGGCATCTTATGAGTGCCCATATTTGGTAGGATCCAGATCACGAATGTTTTCAAAGTTTGTTGTAGTAGCAAAAATATTTTTCAAAAATCTGTGAGATAACGCATGGTGGTGTCATAAGTAAGAATACTAACGAGTTATCTCATAGCTGTCAAAATGTTAATTTATATTTTCATTAGTTAAAGTTCATTTTTTTTTTTGTTATTTTTTAATATATTACTATAATTTCATTAATAAATTATTTTTATTTCATATTTCTTTTTCTTTTTTTTTAACAACATAAAAACCCAGTCCCTGACTTTAATGATTGTTACACATTAAAATTAAGCTCAACATAGTTGTATACCTTCTAAATGGACATTAAACCAATCAATGGTTATGTAGTACTCGGCAAAAATAAAATATAATAAAGAAAAATATTTATTTGATAATAATAGGACCAGTCACTACTAATCATGAGCTAAAGGTATTTACAGACAACTAGCCAATAAAATGTTTATATCAGTAATGTAAACGTTTAGCCTGTCAACTAGCTACAAACTGATGGCTGCATAGCATCGAAGAAACTTGTTGAGTGTAGTTTGTATCCATTTAAAATGGAAAACAAGACGTACAACATTAAAATAAACAGGATCTCACTGAATGTTGCTAGTAACAGGCCATTACAAATTTCTTGTTCATAAAGATAATTCTTAATAAAACTTCTTCTTGTAATACATATAATTTTATTGACAGTAAAGTAATAATAAATAATTGATTTTTTTTTAACTTCTTACTTGGCGATATCTTTTATAAACTTCAATGATGACTTTGCAACACATTAAGTACAATTAAGGAAACTGACTTCTTAAAAGTATTGCAGAGTAACTTAACTGTAAACTTTGGAAATGATATAATACAGGATGGTACTTCATATTTCTTTTTGGAGATTTTAAGAGCTGACAGAAAAAGAATTTCTTTAGAATCAGATTTTGCTAATCTTTAAGACGTTGCCATGGCTTGTTCTGTTTTTTGTTTGTTTTTTTTTACAAACTTTCTTTCCCCTGACCTTCATTTCTGGTTTCTTTGGATATAAGTTTTTTATATGTGTATTGATAATTTGTGAGATCTATTATATTTTTTTTTATCACTTCAGGTTGCCAATTAGAATATCCAACCTTCCTCCTTAAGCGTAATCAGAGAAACAAGGAAATAAGAAATAGTTATTTTTGTGTGCATGTGATATCATAATGAATCGCGTGTGTTTAAGGTTTTTGTTTTCTCCCTCTTGTGAAATATACAAATCATAATAGTTATAGAACTTATATTACTAGATGTAATACAGATAATACCGATTCAGATGATGAAAATTTTCAGAAAGAGCAAAGAGAGATCTCAAAACTATTGATATTGATTACTTCATTGAATCTACTATTAACTATTTCAAATTAATATTAAAAAAAGCAACAAGAAGTGTAAATACTTAGTTATATGGCAATCACTAGATGTAATTATAATTGATAAATAAAGCAAATAAGAAAATGAAGTGTTCAATATAAACGTCTAATTTGTAACAAAATAAACATGTTTAAAGCAAACTATTGTATAATTATTATTTTTTTAAATAATTAGAACAAACTAAGGTACACCATAAATTGATATAATTAACTTTAAATTAATAAAAATTCCAGTTTTATCATACTTATTTATTTACAGCTTTCCCCCTCCTTAAATATATACACTAATACAACTAAAAATTCAATACAGATAGGGGTTGAAATTATTTATAAAAAAAACAAATTCAGAATTGGCATGCTACTCTCAGTGCCTGGATATTGTCATATATTGTAAAACATGCACTGGAGGATAAAATGTAGTTATTTTTTTTAACTTTCCTCCACTGCATGATTTATTGATTTTCCATTCTTATTTAAACTGATACAGGAAAATCAACAATATACAAAAATACATAGACCTAAATTAATCTGGTTATGAACTTCCTAAATAAAGAAAGTCAAGAAAAAAAAAATATCCTTTTTTTGTAAAATAAAACTAATTAACAATTATTTACAAAATTATAACAATAATTATTCTTTTTTTCTCTCTTCTTTTTTTTTTTTTTTACAAAAGTAGAATTATTCAAAAAGTTTGAAAATATAGATAGAAAACTTTTAAAACATGAATACTTCCCATAATCCGGAAAGGCATTCCATAGAAAAAACAATTTACATAACATTTTCTTTTCTTCTTTTGATGTTTTTTAGGAGTAATAATTTAGAATGAAATAAAACTAAATAATACAATTAACCCCAGTATTAAGTATTTGACAGTTATCTCCCACTTTCAAAGGAAATCAGTATTTTATAAGAGCTTGTGAGACTCTATATCTAATTCTTGCCTCAGTATACCTAAAAGAATGGCTTCATTATTAACAATGACAGGTGCTTTCCCTTTTTTAGAAAACTTTGGCCACATGGTACGATCTTCATCACAAGAAACTATAATTGAATTTATAGGCCATCGTGTAAGTTCTTTAGACAAGAACCTTCCTCCACTGCATTCAATTATACCTGATAACAAAAATAGTAGTGTAATTTTTAATTACAGATTGATGAATTTATATATATTTATATTTTTAGATAGAAAAATTGTGATATCACTGGGTACAAAAAAAAACAAACAACAACAACTAAATTAAACTGGACTAAAATAAAGTTATTAACAGATTCTTCAAATCGCCCTGAATATGCCAGAAGCTGCAAAATTTTTATCATATTATGAACAAATAAAGATTTTAAAATGTTGGGATTATTGGTGTTAAATATGTATGTTATGTATAACAGATCCAGATTATCAACCATCTGAATGAAAATGTCGTGATACAAATTTTTAACTAACTAGATCAGATCATATAATAAAAAAAGTCTGTCAATAAAAAGCTTCCTCACAATTTTCATCCAGTAGAAAAGTAAGTAGACATATACACTCAATTCCTAAGGTTATGATTTTATTCAAAACTGAATAGAATAATCCAATAAAAACTGGGTCTAATGGGCATATCATAATACATTTCCACATCTGTAAGCGGAAGTAGAGGATATAATTCATATAGGACTTGGTACCAATCCACACAATCTCAGAAAATTTCAACAATATCAGATCAATGGTAGTAGGTGATCTGCACGTCATATGGATTTGACCAAAGGCAGAATCGGAAGCAAATTTGTTCCTTTATTTTCTAAACCTAAAATGCAAATGAAAACTATCAATTCTGAAGGCAATATTTGTTTAACCTCTCGCATGAGTACAAAGCTTCTCTACTTTTATGGTGAAGATTCAAAATTGTACACGTGTGGACAGGAATGGCCAAACAATTTAGGACACATATAGTTCAGTAAATGAACAAAGGATAGGAAGCAGGTAGTTCTGGAACTGAAGGCGAACTGACTCTTCTGAAAGTCAATTCCCTCCTCCCTTCCCCTTAATCTTAAGACCAATATAATAAAAATTGTGATTAAAAACTTTTTTTTTTCTTGTGTTCCAGACCGAAGTAATTTTACTATGCAAGTCAGTTTTTAAAGTGTTAAGAAATGCCTTGTCTATAATTTTCAAACAGTTATCTTCCTCTCCTAGAGAGAAGAAAGCTGAAAGCTCAATGCGAGCAACTTACATTGACTGAAAGTCAAATTAGCAACAATGTAGTTAATTATAAAAACACTTGAAAATATCTTTAACGGAAGCAAATATCTTATATCTTTATTGTTAATACAGAAAACGTAAATTGTTCTATGACAAATATTCAAAATAAAAATTGGATAGACAAACAATTATTTAGGCCAGGGAATAATAACCCTTAGTCTCACTGAACACTATTTTATAAAACATTATGAAAGGTGGGAAGGGCTCAAATTAAGCAGTAGCTTCCTATGAAATAACTGTCAACATAAAAAAAAAAAAAAAAAAAAATGGTAACCATGTTTTTCTACTCAACTTTTCTCCAAAACAGGTCTATTATTTCAGTTGTGCTCATAACAACAACTGCTTGCATCATTTCCAAAACTTTGAGAAAAACCTTTTTAACACTACCACATTTTGGAAAACAATTAATTTGTTTATATTCTCTTTGTTCCTTTAAAAGTTGATTTTCAAAGTTAGGGATATTCTTACTTCCCAGGATTAAATAATCCAACAGTTTAGATTAATGCACCAGATGATAGATCAGGTCTTTCCTATTTAAGCCTCTGTATTTTAATAGTTCTTATACAAATCAATAGGTTAAGCAAACATGTTGAAAATGTGGATTGTGTTTGTGGTTGGTGCCATAAATTAAATTTCACAACTTCTTCATAGATTTTAAGTGATTAAATTTTGTTGACAAATGATAAATATGATAGAAGGAAAAAGAAAAGAAGTGAGATAAACTTTATATAGTGAATGAAAATACTCACTCTTCATTTCCTCTGGTGAAGGTTTAACTGATGGTGTAACAAAAATAGCCCAACCATCAAGTACTTTTCCATTTTGGGCTTTTTCAATAGAATTTTTCAAATTAAATGAAAACATTTTTTCAGCTTCATTATCTGACAAAAGGAAGTCACTGGAATCTGAAATATAATAACAGAAAAAATTAAAAGACATAATTTTTGTTAAATAAGCAATACTCACTATGTCTAATCTAAATTATACTTAGCACCACTTCCATCCATTATACCAATAATTATTTATATAAAATAGTTAATAATTATTTATGACACACACCGCTTTCCAGATCACACACATCTCCTTTCATGGCCCATATTTGAGCACCAAATATTATAACTTTAATAAAAATATATAAAAAGAGTTTAATTGTAAGTTAATTTAAGTTTTATAATAAAAATATTAAATATTGAATTTAATTTTAAAAAGTGTTTGAGTTTAGGGCTTAAGAGTTGGGTTTCTCTGATTATCTATGTGAGGTCCAATATAGAACATAATTACACACAAGCATATATATTTACAATAAAAATGAAATACAGTTCATATGGTTTCTTGATAAAATCTGGAATATTCTGGTCAAAGGCTAGTTGAAAAAAAAAAAAATGATATGTGAAATGTAAATTTTGAAACTGGTTATAACTAAAAATGGTAACTGAAGGCAATATCTACCAGCTGATGACCAGAAATCAACTGGCACCTTAAAAAAAAAATAGCTTACCCAAAAATCTTCCATTCTCATTTGAGTCAATAAGCCATTGAGGAGAAACAATTGGCAGACCTCGAGAAAGAGCTGACAGAAACTTAGTAGTTCTTCTGACTTTATCCGTAACCAATACAGTACAAGTAAATGGAGACTCGACTATCTGGCCACCTATAAACAAAATAAAACATGATCCATTGATATCAAAATAGATTAAGTTTAAATATAAAATGTAAACAATAAAAATATGTTAAAACTATAGACTGTACATGATGGACACTGGAATATGTTTTAACTGAAAATAAGAAAACTCTTATTATAAGCGAAAAACTATCCATTCTGATTATTATAAAGGTTCTCTCTCGAATGTAATTGAATCAACATGTGTTGGTACTTTAGATGTCTGAAGTAAATAATTATGAACAGTTTTTAAATAAAGAAGAAAATTTTTAATAATAAATTTCAGTAATAGAGCAAAATAAGGTAAAGAAAATTTTAAAATATAATTAAATTATAATTGTTAATATAAAAATATACTTAGTTAACTAGAACCAATGAGATCAATGAATCTGGTCTATATAAGGAACATTTGTTCCATGTATCTAATTTGAATTCCTTAAGAACACTGGGTTGATACCTTGAAGAAGAGAGGTAGCTGGTAGCTCCATTCTACCAGCCATAGCGTGTGATGTGATCAATAAGATTATACAGGTATAACAAAACTTCAGGGGATTGGAAGGACAGTATCAAGCATGATGGAGATGAAATACCATACCGGCGACAATTGTCATTAAGAGCAACATATATTTAGAATATACAACATATTCATGTTAGCAGTAGAACAAAACTAGTAAATAGACTTTAAAGCTGTCATCTAACATAACTATAAGTTGTGAATAAAAGGCAGATTCCAAAACTATTTTATAAGTTTGTGCCATGCGCCAACAGAGATGGCAGAAGGAAATATATAATAACCTCAAAAGTTTAATCGAGGAGAGCCCTCATGGAATAAAAATATTCTGGCCAGGTTGGAATAGAATCTGTATAGTAGCCAATAGTAGGTAGACATAGCATATGATCTATCTAATGATAATAGAAAGAGAATGGTTTATTTTCCCATATTGTAGGGAGTACTATGTTTTACAGGAAAAATATCTACAAGGCTATATGGGTTTTCTTAAACAACTCCAATAATCAGAATGACCAAATTCTTAACAGCAGAAGACAGCATTCTATGCTCGAAGGCTAGATGAATCTTTATAACAAGCTTTTACAGAAAATGATGATGGAATATAGTACTATTGTAAGGAAACAGTCAAGGAAGTAGTTAAAGGAGAAATTTATCCATCTCCTTATCATCCTTCTTCATAAGAAAGGAGACCAAATGGACTGTGACAAGTATCATGGCATAACATTTTAAACTCCAAAACGTCCCCTCTAATTTAGTCTATCTTTATAGTCAAAAAGGCAGGCTGGGTTCTAGGGCGAATTGTCAGAAGAACTCAGATACTAGCCTATGTGGATGACATAGATACAGTGGTAAGATAAAATAGAGACATGGTGCAGGCCGTTCTTGCTTTAAAGAATGCTGGATGATTTTAGACTTTAGATAAACCAATGACAGTCTATAGAATATATGCTAGCTAACATTAACCAGAACCCACTGTCATTTTTGGTCCATGATAGTTGACTGCGACAACAGTTATGTGTAATTTGGTTTAGTGCTCAAAGCAGATAACAAAAGAGGCCCAGAAATATAGAGAATTTCTACCCCCAATAAATATTATTTTGGAATAGTGAAAATATTAAGAATTAGTTTGTTATCTAGAAAAACCAAGTATAACTTTACAAAATGCTTTATCAGGTCTATTTTAAGACATGCGTCAGAAATATAACCACTGCCTAGGTCAGGTGCGAACTATCCTGTTCTGTGAAAGAAAAGTTTTGAGAATAATAATAACAGCTATAAATACTGGTGATCTATTCAGTCTGATAAATCTGGTGGCTATTAAATACGTTAGAAAAAGCATGAAAGAATAAAATGCAGGAAGAGATAAAATATGATTGAAAGAAGAAAAGTGAACGACCATATTTTCCTTTTATCCTTTAACTAAAACATTATCTGTATATTTTGGATACATTAAGAATGTTAACTCCTAAGAGTTGAGGATATATAATTAGGAAATGCTTAGGTAACTACATTAAACATTAAGACTCAGCTTTATGCTGAGGTTAAATAATTATAAAATACTAAGATGAATATATTAAACATTATGTCTTACCGAGCACATTAACAAGAGACCTAGTCTTTTTATCTGCAAAACCAGTAAACATCACATTTTCAACATTCCTTTCAGCAGTCTTCTACAAAAGAAAATAATTAAGACATATGTATTTTAGTTAGAATATGAAAGCTACAAATAAAAAAAAAATAGAACATGAAATACAAATCCGTTATTACCTCATTTTTTTTGCGACTAGATCTTCTAATTTTCAAAGGCAGATCTGAGCAATTCTCAGAAGGCTTTTTCCTCCCTTTTTTGATTTTATTTTCATGAAAGCTATATTCTTGGGAAAAACAATAATTTTCCTCAATTATTTCAGGAGAGGAATTTTCTTTGATATGGATTGGAGTTTTTTTTTCTTTCGTTTTAGAATTTTTATTTTTTACGTTAACGATGACTGTACTTAATGGAGGCTTCATGGATATGTTTCTTGAATTTCTTAAACTAGTCTTGATATTTTTATTGCTAACAGACGTAGAATCTTCAGTGCTCTCAGTTGATCGATTGCCTACTCTTTTTTGTAGTTCATTTGAAGTTCTATTAGTCTGTCCAGGATTTTTTTCATGTTTGCAATCAGCAAGTAGAATATCAGGAGTTTTCTTTCTCATAATTCTGGAAGATTTACGAACTTCAGAATCATTTGTATCAGGTTCTTGAGAGGTTTCTGAGTTCTCTGAATTAGTCTTTCTCCTTTTCTTGCTTTGCTCTAATGCAGCATCAGATAGTTCGACTACTTCACTTTTCTGAGAAACGTTGCGCTTTCTGCTTGTAATAACAGTTTTTGTTTCAACAATACAGATCGGCTCATTTTTTTTTTCATCGGCCTTAATGCTATTTTTATTTGACCTGCTAGTGGATGGTTTAGGTTCTTTGGCCAAACTATTGGAGGTTTGAGATTTACAACCAGAAGTTGTAGGACTAACAGATTCAGTTTTACCCTCTGCTAATAGTTTGTAAGATTTCTTTGCTCCTCTAGGAGACAATTTCACACGATCAGCAGGTCCCCAAATGTTAAACAATTCATCAAGTTTTTCACTAAATGAAAAGCTGCAATTCTTATCTTTGGAAGAAGTTTCATTTTGTTTAGCTTTAGCTTCATCTTTCATTGAAGAATTAGGAACGTTGGATATTTTATCAACTAAAACAGGAGAAGTTTCATTTTTCTTTGATGGTTTTTTTTTAGACACTCTGCTTTTTTCAACATTGAGTTCAGGTACCTCTTTTGGGACTTTCTGAATGTCAAGAACAACTGAAACATGTTTTTTGATACTGTCACTGGGAACATCATTTTGTTTTTTCACTGATTCATCAGGAACACTATTATTAATTTCTTCAATATTTGCAGCTACATTGCTCATATTTTCACTGTCATCCGAATTGGAGAATGACAATTTTTTACGAGAAGTTCTTTTTTTCTCTTCTTCTATAATAAAGCCTTCATAAGATGGTCTTGTTCGTTTTCTTTTACCTCTGCCTAATTCTTCAGAATTCTGGGAATTGTCAGAATAGTTGTTGGCAATTTCGATATAACCTTCATTAGTTGTTACTTTAACTAATTTTTCATTGGTAGGTGTATTATTCTTTACTGGAGAAACCTTTTTAAACCTTTTGAAAGATTTTTCACCCTTCGAAGTAGTTGAGGATGAATTTGCCTCTTTTCTTTTACTTTCATTCTCTTTCAAAAGGTTTTCATTTGAAGTTACAATAGGCGGCTCAATCATCTTATGCAAAATGGGTGATTTAGTATTCTTTAAACTTTTCACAGATACAGTGTTTTTTCTATTACGAATACTCCTTCTAATACCCTGTTTATCTAATTCATCAACTTCTTGACTTGAATTTATCTCACTTTCAATATCACTTACGACTGATAACTGTGTTGGAGACATAGCTACTTTGGTTAATCTGAATTGTTCCTCAAGTTCCGATAGAACTTCGGGAGAATGTAGGGTGATATTACCACGAGAAATATAAGTTGATTCTCGCTCACGTTCAGGTGGTGATTTGTTTTTATTCTCTTTATTATTTCTTTTACCTGAAGTAGAAATCCTTTCATTAAGTTTTTCCTTTAGAACTTTATTTTGATTACTAGTAGTGGTATCAAGCTTTTTTAATCCCATTTTGATATCTGCCTCATCATCATTTTCAACTGAAGTATTTTTAACAATTTCAGAACTATCATCCTTGTTTGACTTTTGGATATCATTATTTATTTTATTTAGGAAACCAGATGATTTGGTACTTTCAAGAACAGAATCTTTGCCTACTATTTTAATACATTCTTCTTCAGATACGTTGCTAGCAGATTCTAAATTTTTATAAGAAGAATCTTGAGAATCAAGAGGAAATACGTTGCAACGCTTTTTATTAGATATGGTATTTATTTCTTGAGATGAGTCTTCATTATCTAAAAATTTATTTGTAAAGCTTTGAGAATCGGGAGGAAATACGTTGCAACGATTTTTATTAGACTTAATATTTAGTTCCTGGGATGAATCTTCATTATCTAAAAACTTGTCAGTAAAACTTTGAGAATCTGGAGGAAAAACATTTGAACGTTTTTTATTTGATCTAATATTTAGTTCTTGAGATGAGTCTTCGTTGTCTAAAAATTTGTAAGTAAAACTTTGAGAATCTGGAGGAAAAATATTGCAACGCTTTTTATTAGATTTGATATTTAGTTCTTGAGATGAATCTTCATTATCTAAAAATTTGTTGCTAAAACTTTGAGAATCTGGAGGAAAAACATTAGAACGTTTTTTATTTGATCTAATATTTAATTCTTGCGAAGAGTCACTATCTATACACACAACATTACTACCTAAGATATGCAAATCAGGAACAGGTTCATTGCATAGTTCCTTAGTCCCCAATTTCAATAAATCTTCATTTCCATCATCTTGAGGTACATTGTTTCCTCTGTTTAAAACAGGATCAGAGGCAGTTGATGTTGCATCAGTCTTCTTAAATTCGTCATATTTTTGTATAATATCATCACTCTCAAGAATTCTTTGAAGATCTTGTGTAGAAATTTTTTCAGGCGGGTTTTCAGTGTTTATTTTGTTTAAAAGAATTTTCTTCTGAGAACAAAAAGAATCCTGACCGGTAAGAGCTTCAAATATATTATCGTCTGATGTTTCTACATTTTTTCGAGGTTTATTGCGTTCTTTAGTAGGATTATTATTGTCAAGAATTTTGTTATTATCTTCCAATTTAGTAGATATATTTCCATACATGAGTTCATCAGTGATTTCCCCAATTTTATCGTCAGATAAATCATTGCATATGCTGGTCAATGGATCTGGAAAAGTCCTATCTTGACCTTGGTCATTTTTATAAGGCTGTGTAGCTGCTTCAAAAAAGCTATCACTCAAAGCATTAGGTAGGGTAGCAGTTAACGAAAAGTCATTGGCTTTAGTAGTAACTAGAATATTTTTTGCTTTATAAATATTTATATCAGATTCACTGGCTTCTACTAAGACTTTTTCTACTTCACAACTTGTCGCCAAGACCTTCGTTATAAGTGAAAGATTCTCTTCATTAGAAGGAAGGTTCGAATCAACTTGGCATGGTGCAGGCTGAAATTGGTTGGCTGAAATATCCAAAATGGGCATTATTTCTTTTTGGTTAACAATTAATTCTGTAATTACAGGCTGTTTAGTTTTGTCTACTAACAAAAGGTTAACAGATTCCCCTTCTGAATAATCATTTGCAGATTTCTTATCAACCATAATACTTTTATTGAAAATGTTGGGTATAGTTTCTGCATGAAGCAAAGGGAGTGTGTCCAATTCATGTATGATTTCTGGTGGTAACAAATTTTTACTATTTACTATCTTAGGATCTATTGCCATTTCAATTTCATTTCCAACTTGTAGAGCTACTGTTTCTTTAACATTCATTTTATCACAAGCACCCTTTTCAATAGATTCATATTGATTAGTTATTCCTTTACTATCCAAGGAACATGGTTGAGTTGCTATTTCACATATTGAAATTGAAAAGCTACTATTCTTAATGTTTTCATCATTAACTGTTTTTGATTGTGGACTTAAAGTTTTTTCATTATCAGATTCAGCCTTTCCAGGAAAGATATCTTTTGGGCATGGTTGAGTTGCTATTTCACATATTGAAGTTGAAAAGAAGTTATTTTTATTACTTTCATCACCCATTGTTGTGATTTCTGAATTTAAAGTTGTTTCATTATTTTTTTCAGGAAAAATATCTTTTGGGCATGGTTGAGTAGCTATTTCACATATTGAATCTGAAAAGATGTTATTTTTATTGATTTCATCAGTTATTGTGGTTAGTTCAGGATTTAAAGTCGTGACATTAAAAGATTCAACTTTTTCAGGAAAAATATCTTTTGGGCAAGGTTGAGTAGCTATTTCACATATGGAAGTTGAAAAGAAATTATTTTTATTGCTTTCATCGCCCATTGTTGTGATTTCTGAATTTAAAGTTGTTTCATTAATTTTTTCACTTTTTTCAGGAAAAATATCTTTTGGGCATGGTTGAGTAGCTATTTCACATATTGAATCTGAAAAGATTTTATTTTTATTATTTTCATCAGTTATTATGGTTAATTCAGAATTTAAAGTTGTGTCATTAATAGATTCAACTTTTTCAGGAAAAATATCTTTTGGGCATGGTTGAGTTGCTATTTCACATATCGAATTTGAAAAAATATCATTTTTATTGCTTTCATCACTAACTTTTGCATCAATAGATTCAGCTTTTTCAGGATAAATATCTTTTAGGTATGGTTGAGTTGCTATTTCACATATTGAATTTGAAAAGCTACTATTTTTATTGTTTTCATCAGTTATTATGGTTAATTCAGAATTTAAAATAGTATCATTATTAGATCCAGCTTTTTCAGGAAAAATATCTTTTGAGCATGGTTGAGTTCCTATTTCACATAATGAAGTTGAAAATATGTTATTTTTATTACTTTCTTCACTCATTGTTTTTAATTCTGAACCAGGAGTTGTTTCATTATCAATTGATTCCCTTTTTTTAGGAAAAATTTCTTTTGGGCAGGGTTGAGTTGCTATTTCACATATTGAACTTGAAAATAAGTTATTTTTATTGCTTTCATCACCCATTGTAAATTCTGGACTTAAAGTTGTTTCACTTTTTTCAGGAAAAATATCTTTTGGGCATGGTTGAGTTGCTATTTCACATATTGAATTTGAAAAGTTGTTATTCGTATTGTTATCATCCCTCATTGATGTTAATTCTGGATTCAAAGTTGTTTCATTAATAGATTCGTTATTTTCGGATAAAATATCTTTTGGACATGGCTGAGTAGCTATTTCATACATTGAAGTAGAAAATTTGTCATCTTGCATTGCTTCCTTTTTAAACACATCATCAGTGAGGTCATCATTCTTTGTTAGTTCATTTTTTTGTATTTCTTTTTCTATTAACACATTTTCTGAAGTAGGTTGACAAGGTTGCGTAGCTATTTCGTACCAATCACATATTGACAAATCTTTTGCAGAAATTTTTTCAGATGAATTACTCTCAATATCTTCATGTAATAACTGTTGATTAACCAAAGAAGTAGGCTTGGTTCCTGCTCCAACAACAGAAGAAGATGAACTGCTAATTTTTATTTCTGTATCATCCACATTTACAACTGCTTTTGGGGAATGGCTTTGTTTTGATGGATCAATAGAAATTTCTACTGGACATAATTGAGTAGTCCTTCCAATAATAGTTGTAGACAAATTTTCCTTTTCATCAGCTTTATTATTAATTTCAGATGAGGTAGAATCCTGTATTTCTAAAGAACCATGAATACATGGCTGAGTGGTTACAACTATAGCAGAGGTAACACTTCCATTTTTATCCATTCTTTCTGGTAAACAGTTGGATATTTCTGAAATAGGTTCTTTACTAACCTTCTGTAAGAAGGGTTGTGTCTCTGCTTCATAGATTGATTCTGAAAAACTACAGTTATTGTCAGTTTCATCGATCACTTTGGTTTTTAAATAAGAAGTATTGTTCATTTCTTCTTTATCATTATTCTCAGCAGGTTGAGAGGCTGACTCTAATAACATACTGAGTTTTGTATTTGGAGACGTTATTGAAATAGATTCATTTTCTTTATCGACTTTGGACTCAGAGTCATTGTCAGCAATAACCATCTGTGTTTGGATATCATATATTGAATTGTTTACTTCTTTATTTTCAATACTTACTTGTGTGAGCATTTCATAAACATCACCTTGTTCAGGACGTTCATCCGTTTTTTCTGGACTTTCTTCAAACATATCAATGTTCTGTGACATGGGAATGTAACAATCATTTTCCAAATATAGACTATCTTTAGTTCCGCCAATGCCAGGAGTTTTAGGCTCTATATATGTTTTTTCAGATAACAATCCCTTTTCGGTCTCATCAACTATTTTCAATTCACCATCTTTAGATGTAGACGATACATCTTGTTTGTCAGAATCAATACAAGCAGGTTTACATAAATCTGATAGTATAACTCCTCCTATATTTTTTGGGATATGCTGATCAGGTTTCAAATCATCATTTGTTATATCTAAGAAAGATGAACTTACTTTAGACTTTGAATGGACAAGATTATTAGCACTTGAGGAATCCAACTCAACATGAGAAGTGATTTCTGGAAAATCTTCCCAACCGAAATTGGTTTTTGTTTTATCTTTATCATGCATGGGAGGACTCTTTGACACAGGTTTCTCATCATGACCTAGTTCCTGTGGATCAATATCAAAACCCTTCTCCTCAACATCGTTATTTGCTGGTATAACATTAATTTTATTTAAATCCTCTAAATGGTCTGTTTTTTTTACATGATTTTCAATGTGTTCATCAAAGGATAATGTATCTAATTCGTAAATATCATTACTGGGTTTAGATGGACTACTTGGAATTTCTTTAAGATATAAATTGGTATCAGCTTCTTTTTCATCAAATAAATCTGTGTCAGACAATTCTAAAGCTGAGCTTTCAACCTAAAATAAGAAAAATATTGTAAAATTCAATAATTCATATCATTAGATAAAAAGAACTAAATTTTATTAAAAAATAAAATAAAAGAAGTTTTAAATCATGCATAACATTATAATTTGATTGTTTACACTTACTATGAGATAGAAACTATAAGATACAAATTTAATAAATCTACTTGGATTAAATAACTTAAAAGTATTTCTTTTTCAAATAAAAATACTATAAATAACTGAACTAATACAATTAATAAATCTTACATAAAAATTACGCAATAAAACAATTAAATTTTATAGCTTTATAAAATTCAGTGCCATGTGTATATATATATGCATACATGTAAAACAAATTGGAAGTATAATTAATCTTAATTCAGAGTTAAAAAATAAAATAAAAAGAGAAATCACTTTCTACAACTTTCATCCCTGCAAATAAAATCCTGATAATTACTTTCTGTTTGGTGCTTTCAGTAGCATCTAATTCTAAAGTTGAAACTAGACGTTCAGGAGTTTCAGGTATAGAACATGAATTCAATGTGGTATTACCTAAAAAATAGATAAAAATTATATTACAAATATTATTCAAAATGATTGTGAGTACACATTATTTGCCTAATCATGAGTACACATTATTTAAAATATATCTTTTGCATATATATAAATGATTCAATAGATGTTATACGCTTCCCATATTAAATTGATAAAAGAATTAATTTTAAACATAAATTACAAAAACCTTACTAATCCTTTAACAAATTAAAAAAATATTCTATTTTTTTTTTTTGGAATATTAAAAAATTTAATGAGATATAAATTAAAAAGTTAGTGAGATAATAAAAACTTGAAATTTTTATATAGTTTCAAAATTATTTAAAAATAAATTATATGCACTTAGAAGTTATTATAAAATTTTTTTCTTGTTTTATTAAATTTTGTAACCCTCTCAATCTTGTAAAGTACAGAATTATTTGACATGAAAAGAACTTAAAATTTATTTAAAATACTCATTCAAAAGATGGTGTTTTTTTTTTTTTTTTCCTTTTATAAATTTCCAAATTATAATTTTTTTTTTTTTTTTACAATTGAAGTTTGCTACAAAAGATTAAACTGAAGAATTGAAAGAATGAGAACAAATTGAACTCTCTATCAACGCAATTCCATAAAAGAATACTTGGAAAACTGATAACAGCCGAAACTTCAATGTAATCCTCCATCATTATAATTAGCAATTCTCAATTCAGTTATAATAATTTATAATTTTCATTTTCTTTGTTCATAAGGTAATACACAAGCCGAAATCTCTAAAAAAGAGGTGCTGGTAAGATTCACACTCATTTTCCACACCATGAAGGCTGTGAAAATCCCTAATGAATGGTTTGTACTGCAATAATTGTCCAGAAGTATAAAATAAGGGAGATTCCAGAGACTGCATATTAGAGGAGATCAACTTACTAAATATTTCATTCAATATATTCTCTATAGTCATGTATAACCATCTACTTCCTTATGATTAGAGGAAGCTTAGAGATTTCCAGGGTGTTTTTAGAATTAGTAGATCTACTGTTGACCAAATTTTCCTTCTCAGGAAACTTGCAAAAAAAAAAAAATTAAAGTGTTGCGGAATGGAACATGATAGAGATTTTATTTATAGATTATTAAATAACTTACAATAAGTGATACCACAGTACGAAAAGAGCTCTTTTGGGAAATGAAAAAAGTAGGCACCCCTTTAAAATTCATTAACCTTTTAGCGATGATGAGCGGAAGGACATAACTGAATTGAGTGGCCCTTGTGGAATATTTTTCATCACCTCAACTCGCCACTCTAGTCTTTTTATTTAGGGGATTCTTCTAAACTTTTTTATATTGTTTTTACCTATCTAATTACCTTCTCTCTCATAGAAAGCTATAAGATAGTTCGTAATTATAATTCATCACTGGGCACCCCGTCATATAACGAAAAAGAGCTCGAGAGGCTCCCAAATCATATATCTGAGTCCACTGTCACTAGGGCACGGTCCTGTCTTAACTTATGTATGATTTCACCATCGCCTCAGCCCGATTCTCTCGTCACTTATATATCTGACCACCGTCGATAAAGGATTAAATTTGTGGCCCCCAATCATACCATGGTACTACAAAAATAAAAAACAATGATTTTTTGGGCTCTTGGGTGGAAATAGGAAATACCTTAGGGGTCCCCTGCATATATTGGATATTAAAAACAATTTTTTTTTTGTAATCAAACATTCCACCGTTTCTTTTAATCATTTCCATTCAGAGATGTGCGGGATTGGTCCACAGCGCCTATTACATTATATCGGTATCTCTTCACCGAAATGTATAACGATTATTGAATAAGAAGAAGATATTCCACGGCACTAGAAAAATATAAAACAATAATTTTTTTGGTCCATAAACATGCGGAAATAAAGAATTTTAAAACAGTTATTATAGGGGTCAAACATACCACAGTACTTGTTAAATATAAAACAACAATTTTTGAGGGCCCTCGGAGTGGTTTCCCAATCATTCAATGGTGATAAAAATAACACAAAACAATTATTTTTAAGATCCACAGGAGAGACGCCAAACATACTTCAATATTTAAAAAAAAAAAGTTTTGGAGCCACAGAAAAAATATAAATAATAAGTTTGGAAACATTTCACGGTACTAAAAAAATGATGTTCAGGACCTCCTTAGGGGTTGCTTACTAGCCGACCTGGTCAGGATGGATTTTTGCAAAGATAGAGGAGGGCCGCATATTGATTAGTGATAAGTTAATATTAGAGGAACCACAAAGTAATGTCGTTTCTACGCATGTCACTATTTCATTATCATTTGGCATCTCATTGTGTGAACATCTGTCATGGCAAAGACATTCTAAGGTTATGATGATTTGTTTAGAACTAAATAATTATATTAAAAATTTTTGAAGAAAACTTGGCTGAAATGGCCAGCCAAATACCAGAAGAGGTACATATCCACCATTGCATGCTTTTGAGTTTCTCAAGGGTAGTGATGCAACAGTTGCTACCAAAAACATTTGTGATGTTTATCCAAATGCATTAGATATTCCTACATGCCAAAGGCAGTTTTACAAGTTCAAATCCGGTAATTTTGATCATTCATTATATCGATCAGGAAGACCAACAACGTTAGACAATGACATGTTAAGGATGGAAGTTGAAGCAAATCTATGTCAGACAATCCAGAACTTGTCAAATAGTCTTAACCAACCATTGTTAAACATCCAAGAACATTTGCAGCAGATTGGGAAATCACTACATGCAACTTATAGCTTCAACAGTAAAATATAGAAGCATTCTGTTTGCTTGATCACTGGAGATGAAAAATGGGTTCTCTTTGATAATCCAAAATGCAAAAAGGCTTTCTCCAAATGAATCCTCACCAAGTACTGCTAAACCAGAGTTATACCCCACCCCTTTTTTGTTTTTGGTGGAATAATCCTGTGTTATTCATTTGAAGTGCTGAAACCAGGACGAACTGTGAATGCAGAAATATACTGTGAACAATTATAGCATGTACATCAATCTATAATTGAAAAGCGGGCAGCGTTGTCAACAGAAAAGGTGTTATTATGTAACAGGATAGTGCAAGACCTCATTTTAAAACACGAACCCTGGAAAAAATTAATGAATTGCGGTGGGAGGTAATACAGCAACCACCATACTCACACAGTCGGATTTTCATTTATTCCGATCACTTCAACACTTTCAAAGTGGAAAAAGATTTATAAATTAGGGAGGTATCCAAAATGCCATCGCTATATGCTTTCCTCAAAAACCAATTTATTTTTATTGATCAAGCATTGAAAATTTGCACACTAGAGGGCATAAGGAGGATGATTACATCATTGATTAAAAATAAAAACTCGTTAAAAATATATGTTTTAATTTAATGTAAGAAAATGACATTACTTTCCGGGCTCCCTAATATGTAAGAAATTAAAACGAAATATTTTACAATACCAGCATTATTATTTAATAGCCACATCTCATAAGCAAGAATCTGATGTAGTTCACAGTGCCTGAAAATTATATGAAGTAAAACACATTTCTTCAACTTACCTTTAACAGGCGTTGTAAGATATTTCCTCGATATCTAAAATAAAAAGCAGGATTAATGACTTCAAGTTTTGTTGATATCTTACATAAAAATAATTTATACTCACATTATATTGTGCTGAAACATTACCGAAAGTCACACTATCCCCATCATTTATATGATAACGAACATGAGGTTTAAGAACCATCTGAAATGAAGAATATTTTGAACAGAGTGCTAATGAGTAAGACTAATATCTATTCAAACTATTATAATAATCTAAAAATCTAGAATTGTGGAATAATAATAAAAATTTGTATTGAAACCTTGCCCAATTTCGTCTTATTAGTACTTCCTAAATCATAAATCAAGTGGGCATCAGAATCTTCTGCTTCGATGACTGCATGTTTGCTTGATACCGCCTATGGAAAAAAAAAAATGTATGTATAATTTGAGCTTGACAACATACTAAACAATCACAGATTTTATAAATATGAGAAGGAGTTAGTCGAGGGTGTGGTCAAATAAATAATAAATTAAAATAATTAATATATTTTAATTTATTATTTATTTGACCGCACCCTCAACGAACTCCTTCTCATATTATATCTACGGTCAACCATCTCTACATCATTACGATTTTATAAATAATTTAGATGGAATTAGGGTAGTTTTCCGTTAGCTAGGAGCAACGTTCAATTATAAACAAATACTAATTAACAATGAGTAAAACAATTTCAATTACAAACAAATAGTAATGAATTGTAAACAAAGCAGTTTTACCCAAAAATAATGCTTATAAATATTGGTTTTTCCAGAACATGGCGATATACTTGAGAATTAGCTCAAATGGATCGTTTACTCCTCGTCTCTACATAAATTCAGTGAGGTACAATTCCAAATGATGACGAGAAGTTTCCCAATATTTTTTATTTCTCCATTTGACTATGCCCCAAAGTCGTTCGATTTTCTGAGTGTTTACACCAGTGTTGGGATCAATAAAATTGTACCTGTGATAGACTTTGAAATGCCGTAGACCAGCTTCTTTCAATTTAGTTGTGCTCAATCTGAAGAATAGAGCAGATGGCTCCAAACGAACAGGGTTGTAAGAAATAATATTATAGTTGTAAGAAACTTGGCAGAATTCTACATTATTTTTTTGCAGCCGGCTAACAAAAAAGTAACAGATTAAGCTATTATTTAATTAAAAATGAAAAGAAATAGGTACTATTTCTTACATTGTTATGACTACAAATGTCACTCCAGTTTTATCAGTGGCAGAAGATTTCATGAACACACCATAAATGAAATCCTGAGAATCGCTGAGTGTGTTTGAAAGTAAATTTAAGTTACTAAACCATCTGTAAGACCCCGACCTCTACGGAAAAGTAGCCGTGAGAGTTTAGAGCTTCAGTGTGAGTAGAGTTGAGTGAGGTAGTGGGAGTCGGAAACAGTGATGTAATTAAAGCTAATAAACGCCCCGATTGTAACCGAGAGGATCCATAGAGAGTTTTCAAGTCATAAATATCATTTAAATAAAGGGGGATTTTACTATAGACACCAATTCCATTTATATCATGAACAAGGGATCTTGAACCATAGAAGGCGGAGTGCCAGTTATAGTGGTACCAGAAATATAATCGGTGGTAGAATCTTTGAAACAAAATGTAATGAGACTTTGTTTATTTCATAACAATACTAAACCAATTGCAATATATCATGTACATTAATTACTGTAAAAATTACTTAAACTAGAAACTTACATTGTTGCTAATGACAATATCACATGTTTTTTCTCTGCCAATGACATTTTCTGTGTTGTATATTGTGTGATATTCATCTTCAATCAAAAGTGTAGCAACCTATTAATAACAACCAAATTAATGGTCAATAATAAGAAAAGTCCAATTCGCTAAATTGAAAAGATTTCAAGTTAATTATAATATAGATAAAAGTTAGCAAGCAAAACCAAAATATGATTCATAAAACGATTTCTGTCAAATTTTAAACAGTAATTCATACAAAAAGTAACGTAAATATACAAACCGGAATCTTTTCTGTGGCGGTATTTTTTATATCAAATGACTCGGACACTAAAACTTGGGTGTATTCCATTTAAAACAGTTGAATCTAAAATAATAATAACAGAATTCTTGTTTACATGTCAATTTGCGGGAATAAAAACATCCTCTATAAACTACAGGAAGGTTTCATTGATACGAGACAAGAGTTCGGTCCATCAAATATAATTGTATTTTAATGCAATCTTGTCATTTTAAATTATTTAAAGTTCCCAAATATTCTTTAAAATTAAGAGATTTTAAAAAAATAACAATTTCTCTAATTTCACCTGGTAATTCGATGAAATACTGAGCCAATGGAAAAAAGTTTTGGTTATGGGGCAACACTGGTTTTGTTTGTATCAAGAGAAGCTTCACTCCGAAGTGTTTTCTTGGAAGCTTTCCAGAAGTTGGGAGGGTTTCACTACTGATGTTTGATTAGAAATATAGTGTATTTATTTGCAATTTTCAATAATCATCCCGCCATGGATTCAGTAGGGATGTCGTGTATTAAATATTTATTATTTCTTTTTAATTTACTTTTTGCGGTAGGTATAATCATGTAAATCAAACTTTGATCTCTGACAGTTGTTTCATTTGTTAACTCCTCCCTCTTTTATTAGATTTCAGGTATTGTAATTTTAACAATTGGAATAATGATTCAGCAAATGTATTCAAATTACAAAATATTTATTGACGAGAAGTTATTTTCCTTGCCTGTTATTTTCATCGTAGTTGGTGTTTTTATCTTTATTGTTGCATTTTTTGGATGCTGTGGAGCTATTCAAGAAAGTAACTACATGTTAATAACTGTAAGTGTCCTATCTTTTTATTTTTATTGTATCCTATGTCAGACCATTATATAAAAATTTATTTTTTAGTTTGCTGCCCTACTTTGCTTTATATTTTTAATGGAAGCTGCTGGTGGCATTGGTGGATATATAATGAAAGAAGACATTCATGAAAAACTTTCTGCAAAAATGTATAGTTCTTTGAGGAATAGTAATAATTATAAGATTGATAATAATACTTGGAATGCTCTTCAGAATGATGTAAGTTTCATCTGTTTTTTTGTATAAATTACATTTTTGATTATAAATTTTGATCTTTTTTATAATAGATGTTCTGACAGTTGTGTTCTTAAACTAATAGATCCTTGTTTATTATTCATTTTATGATTACTTCTTGTTTGATTCAGTTTTCATGACTGATTATTATAGCTTAATTATTTATGTTGTTTTGTCTTAAATATTTAGTCATTTGAATTTTGTTTCGTGAGTTGTTTAAATGTACATATATTCAATTTGTATAAGTATAATTGGTACTACCTTAAGAATAACAACTAAAAGAAACTTAGTGAAATTATAAATTAGATTCCACACCTAAACCACTGGTAATTGCTGTCTATGTATCTGCTTCCACCAACTTCTATCTAAACCCTAACCGCTAACCTAAAGAATAATGATTAGTTTTTTACATTTTCTTCTTATTTAATATTATTAACAGTTAATAATAACAGTTACGTTGTTATTCATAAAACTGGTTAATATACAATTGATTCTGTGTAATAGGCCGTGTAATACTTTGCAGTAGGTCCCTTATTGGAAGCTTTTAGGATTTAATGAAGTTATTGCTGAGTTCCAACTGTCTGATTTATTTCTTAAATAATGTAAAGTCTTCATATTGGTGCATGAGGGTCTCCTGAAGTATTTGTTTTATCTTGATCAAACAGGTTATCACCCTGACCTCGCCCACTATTTTTTTTCACTTAGATAAAGTTTGGTTAGAACTGGGCTCTAAAAAGACAATATTCTATTAGATAGGCTCCATCAATCCAATTGTAAGGAAATAAGATTTAGACCTGAGTTAAATCAATTATCTTCGTTTTTTTGGTTAAAGATTTATTTTTTTCGTAAACATGGATTTCGATCTGGGTCATTAACGTAGAATTCACTGTTAATACCTATTATTCCACTTAAAAGTTTTTAATTACTATTTTATCAACGTTTTATTTGACAAGGAAGAGCGTTTTATGTTCCAATGAATTTTTCATAAACTTTTATCTTATTTTTAGATTATAAAATTGCAACATTCACTTTTTGACACTTTTTATCCACAAATATAGATTTTTTCATCATATAAAATTTTACTATAAATTGTCTTTTTTTTTTTGTAGAGAAAGTTGTTCACTATGTTTTCAGTGTGTCATTAAAAACCTAATGACAGTTTTCTGTATAAAAAATGTAATTTAGAGAAAATTTTAGAATATGATAACATTTGTGGATATAAGTGACTAAGAGTGGATGATACAATTTTATTATAGAAAATAGAAAATATAACTGCATGAAGATAATGTCTTTAAAGTTTTTTTTTTTTTAGTTATTAAGTGTATTATTTATTCTAGAGTACTCCACGTTTAGTATTAGTTGCAGGATCATTTTATTAAAGGACTAGGCCAAACTTTAATGTCTGGTAAAAATTTGATTTACTGACTTCTTACCCAGTATAAATCATGTTTTATCTACTGTCTGATTTTTATTTGTTATAATAATGATACTTAATTTATTTTGGGACAAGTCCCTTTACAATAATAAACAATAGTAAAAATATGGGCTTTGGAGCCTTAGAAAATAATCACAGAATAAATAATTAGACATAATAAATAAAAAAAGTTACATTCCCACTTTAATCAATTAATAAAAAAAATAGCGATACGTGAAATAAAAATAATTAAAACGATGATAAACATAAAATAAGACGTAATAGGATATATATATTTGGAAATTGAAATGGAAGTTAAAATCTCAATTTAAAAGAATTTTTAGGAATACTAAAATTGACTTATAACTTGTTTATTCAAAACCCAAATACTTTGTCTAAAATTGGAGTATTAATATTGCAAAAGGAATAAGTAGATTATTGATGTGAATTTCTGCTCAATCTAGAGATAATTGGTCTGTTGTCTAATTGCATAGATAGTTAAGCGTTGCTGTTGTATCCCTTACTGATGTTGAGTGTGTTGCAGGAAAAAAACTATTTATTTTTTTTGTAAAAATCTGAAGATATGGCTGTGTTAACAAGTATATCGTTGTTTGTTTTAAGTTTTTTTTTTTAAAACAGCATTACTGACCTGTTAAAAATAAAAAAATGGCTTTGTTGAGGGTCATCAAAACCTACTTCATACTTCAGGAAGGTCCCAGTTGTGAGCTCATCCTCTGGCAAAACTCCTGTTGAACATTACATTGCATCTCCTTATGGAAGAAGGTATGACTAAATATATAAGAAAGAGGGCTGCAAAAGATTTCTGGATAATCTTCAGGCGGAGATTATGAATGAGCCTAATAAATAAAAAACGTAATCCAGAAGTAAATGATCGATAAATGGAGTTGGTAGGGGTAGAGATGTAGATCCTCAAGGTCCAACATGTGGTGTTCTGGAAACTAAAAGAGCTTGTGGTCATGACCTGCACCACATTGGAGGAGGCTTTAATGGCCATATTGATAAGAGCCATGGGATTCTATTTCCTTCAGGAAATGGCTTTCCTTAGTAAATGAGAAAAACTTCCTGCTGTTTAAAATTTTATTCCGATTTCCCCAAATATCCAAATTCCTGGATAAGAAAAAGTATAGCTGTTTTCTGAAGTATATTGCATAGATATGAAAGGTTCTACAAGATTTGTAGATTTTTTAGCCTTTAGTGCGAAAGGAAAAGAAGCTTTGATAGTTCATCCTACAATTCAATTTAAAACCAATGATGAGGATCATGATCCCAAAATACAAACAGAAAAAGAGAAGATCTATAAAAAAAAGCATTTGGTACCTCAGGAGGAATTTGGGTGGAACAGAATTTTCGATTGAGGGACTTAGGCTCGGGAGTAGAGGAGCGATTCCACTTTCAATTGCTGCGTTTTTGGAAAAGCTGGGCATAGAAAGGAGCCATCTGCAGACTATGGCAGAATCTATTATTTTTGACTCATTAGGAATCCTGCACCATCACCTGTATTAATTCTGGTCACTTTGTTATGAGCTCTACAGAAAGTTGTGAGAGTGATAATGCTGCTCTTTTGGCTGCTTGTTCGACCACTTTGTTTCCTTTAATTTCTATGTGTTATAGTGAAGATAATTTGGAAAAAATTATAACATTCGGTACTTTGGTTGGTAGTTCCACAAAACTTTATCCTTTTCATTCTCTCTCATTAAATATTATCTATTAGAACTGATTAGTATGCTGGGTCATTTAGCAATTTAATATAGTTGAGCAGTTGCATAGTTTTATTGTACTTCTCTCTAGAAAATGATGTTAGAGTCAGCCCACTTTAACCTGAAGGCGGCAGGATTCACTTAGAGGAAGTACTATAGAAGAAAGATCATTTTGTACACGACATATCTTAGTCAGAAGACCTAGAAAATTGGCAGCAGTGGTTCCATGCAATTCTAGCTTAGTCATACTGCAGCCCAATCATATGTCACCAAATGATAATGTCACCAATAATGGCTGAGATATTAATATGATCTGTTAAACATTTTGTGGCCAGTAGTCTATTAATCTACAATAATGTTCGTATATATAATAGTTTTTTAGCGATGGCTGTATACTGTTCTGTTATATAAGAATGCAGTAACTTCTGGTCATTATTTTTATGATTTACAAATCACTCTAATCAGAAAAACTTCTTTATTTTAAAAAATGCAATAAATTTCTTAATTTTAATATAGTATACTGTGTACACTAAAATATATTCCGCCCTTTGAAATGAATTACTTATTAGAAATGCTGTTACTGATTACTTTTTTGGTTTAGAAGATAATGTTTATTTTCTATGTTTACTGACATGAATATTATTAAATATCACAAGTGAGTAATTTGTACCTATATGAGATTTAATATTTGTCATAGATATGAGTAATTTTTACTCACATGTTTGACTCTAATAATATTACTATAGGTAGTAATTATTGCTTTTTTTTTACAGATTCGTTTGAGGGTTATAGTAGTATTGACAGAATCAAAACAATTTGTTAAAGGGATGAAAAGTCCAGTGTTATGTAAAAATTTCCTATTTTGTAGTGAGAGGGTCCATATATAAACCTAATGCTTAAGATTCGATAGTGTAAATTAAATGTTGGTCTTTTTTCGATTGATTTGGAGATTTGAATTTATATAAAAATGAATTTAATATTTTAGTTGTGTAAAAAATTGTATCTGTCAACTTAAAAGGTCAGTTTAGGTTATGTTTGTTTTTGGGCACTCAGCATCTTGGGTCATTAGTGCCCATTTTTTATTATTTTGAGTTAATTTTTTTTGTTTTATTGAAATTATTATTTTCATTTTTGAAATTCTATTATTTTGTGATATTTTCGACCTTATTTCTCGTTTTTTTTTTATTTTTTATTTTTTTTAAAGGTTTCTTTCCATTCCTAAAGCCTGAAAATAGCTGTCATGTATAGGGCGGCCCTCTAAGACGTGGTTAATGTTCAACTGTTCATCAGACCTAACACATTTTCATGTCCGATTAGAAATTTATGATTAGAAATGCGTGGTTAAAACATTTGTGGCCTATCCTCAGTCTTGTTATGATAACTTCTTCTTTTCTGTTGTTGAGGTTGGGCTTTTCCATCCCTTAATTTCTTTCTTGATATTTTCTATTTATTTTGGTCCTCAGTAGATTCCCAAAGCTGAGCCCAGGTCATCTTGGCTTGTCACTTAAAATATTTGCATACGTCTGATGAAGTGTAGATGTTGCATACTTTGATCGATGATAATGCTGCTTTTTTGGCTGCTTGTTTGGCCACTTTGTTTCCTTTAATTCCTATGTGTTATAGTATCCAGTGGGTGGGGTGGCCGAATGGGCTAAAGTGTGTGCACTGCACCGCCGTTGTCCGGCAACCTGACATGAATCAATTTCATGAATCAATTCATTTTGGTTGGAAAATATTTTTTCCATGCTGTATTTGTATTGTTGAATTTAGTCTTCCGGCCAACTTAAGATACCATCAGAACTTAAAAAACAATTTAATTTTTTTTTAATATGGTATAAAATTAAATGTATTGAGAGAAAAAATAAATGAAGAATTTATACCCAATCAAATAATAAAACATAAAAGGAAATAAAATGAAATAGAGCTACCTATTTAAGCTCGCCTAATTGTAAAATAAAACTGGATTGAAGTTGAACTTCATATCACCTTAGTTATGATTTGTATTGAAAATTTCAAAATTTGGCAATCATGTTGTAGATTGCATACTATTCCTCTTGAGTCAGGTTTTTAAATTAGATTTCAGGATGTCATGGGCAATTCACTTGTTCCTCCCTGCCTTACTTATATTGTATTTAAATGATCTTGATTTCTTGAAATCCTTGCACCTGGTTGACATTATTTTTATTACAATTTGTGTCTATAGCATTATTATACAACTTCCATTATTACTATTTTCATCTCCAAATAATTATCGAAAATTAAATTAGCAATTCATTTCAACTGATAATCTAACCCAATTCACTCTGGCATACTCTTAAACTACCATTCCCTTAATCCTTGCCATGACAAATTTAATGATGCCAAAAATCTTTTCCATTGTTGACTAACTTTTCTATCTTCTATTAATCTACATTGTCATTGTATTAAACATTCACTGGAATGAATAAAAATATTTTTCAGCCTGCTTCATAGTTAATGAGAAATAAAAAAACCTTATGACAACTATTCTTCTTCTTACATATACACACTCATGCATATCAAAGATCCCATCCTATTGTGGCACTGCCTGCATATTCCACATTCTTCATTTTCAATCCTAATGGCAAGGCTTCCAATATTGGTGAAACTGAAAATTACTCTGAAACCTTTTACTGGTTTCATTTTTTATCATCTAAATAAAGAGGCATGCTCATACTTTTTCTTAAATTTGAAAAGTATAACAGGTAACCTACTGATTCTACTTTCAGAGCGCCTGTGTTAGCCTAATGCTTGTAGGAAGGATATCCACAATAATTTATTAATTTACACTTCTATGTTTTGGTATGCTATGATTGTTCCTAACACTATACTGCAGGTAAATGTGCTCAATAATATTTTGATTTGATCGTTTTTTGGATCACATTTACAATTACTATCACAAACTTCTTGCCCTGCTTATTAATATATATATAAATATATAAACTCGATCAGATAGTGTAAGGTCAAACCTCGGAATTTATGATAAGTATCTTTACTAATTACTTAAAATTATGGTGTAGCAGTATAGGTTAAATAATTAGGCTTTAAGTGCAATATAGATATTGAGTAAAGTAAATATTTGACAAACTGGTGCCATCAATCATATAGTGAATATTAATATGCAATAATAATCTTATTTTAAATCAATGGTACCAAGCTATAGCTTTATTTTTATTTACTTTTTTATCGTAGCATGTAGAAATTTTAATTGCAGTAGCTTATTTTAAACTTAATTGTATTGTACATATTATAGTTGTCTTGCTGCGGTGTTAAATCCTCTGAAGACTGGTCAGTTATTATCACTGATGGGACCCTCCCACATTCATGCTGCCCTAATTTTCCTATTGATGAAAGTTGTGAAAAACAACGTGCTACTCCGTACGGATGCTTGCCTGCCTTAGAAAATGCCCTTGAACAAAATATCTTCCGCATCATTACATTTGCTTTAATTGTTGCATTTGTTCAGGTAAATAAATTCCCATTATATATGAATATTTAGGCTATATTTGTATTATATTCATTAATAATTATGCTTAATGTAACAGATTTTAAGTAATTGGTCAACATCATGAAATTTTGCTTTTTATACAGAGTTATTAAAATACTAATCAAATGAAAATTATTGAAAAATTGTTAATTTTAATCCATATTTTAGCAGTATTTTTATTTATTTCATGCGAATCACCCAAAATTTGCCTTTAAAAAATAATTGAATATCATGTTCATCATTTATCAATGTTTATAGATTATTGCTAAATTTATTAAATGAGGAAAAAATAGCTCATCACGTTGATACGTGTTTTTATCAAGTGCACTTGTTCGTTTCTATGTAAATTAGTGGAAACATGACGCACGGCTTGGTCATTGTCTGTAGGGGAACCAATGTAGTGCACTGAGGCATTAATAAACAGCTTAGATCTTTGCTTTTGAACAAGATCAATAAACAAGTTGCTTCTTTCCTAAAAGATTTTCTATATATTTACTCGTATTCTTAATGTTTTATAGAAAACAATCTGTCTGTATCAGAAAAACTGTTTACATTTAGCAATGTACTTTCAGTGAAAAACTGACACAAATTGGTTGAGAATCCAATAAAAAATGGTTTAATAATAGATTCCACATAGTAATTTTTTCTGTTCTTATAATTTTTAAGTTTTTTTAAAATAATCTTTTTACTAGAAGAGTATATAATCCAAATAGGATTATATTTGTAAATATTTGTTAAATGAGCCGTTTATTTTGAGAGTGGCCTAAGTCCATTTGTCAATTATTTCCAGGTGACCGTAGTTATATGCACAACTTTAAGTTATCTATCAATAAAACATTGCAGGTTATTTATATTCTGATTAAATACAATAATTTTGGACACATAAGTTTTTAGAGTTAGTTTAATGATTGATTCGTTTACTTTAAAAGTGACCTAAGTCTAATTATACTTAATTATTATTGATAGTTTCCGAAGGTAGTGATGAAGCTAATTTTTATTAATTAGTATTTAACAATCTACCTCAGTTTTAAGACAATCGCTATAGTTGAATAATCAATACGTTTAATTAATACAGTTGAAAACAAATTTTGCAATAAACATTCTTACAATTACAACTTAACGATATGTATATTGCGTATATGTAATATAAAACTAAAAATTTTATTTTATGTTATTGATTTTTTTTTTTTTTTTAGAGATTATCATTTATTTACAAGTTTTTTTTTATAGATTACATCAGGTCATAATGATAATTACATGTTTGTGGTTGCAGTAACCTTACATACACATGACATACTAGTGATTTCAATGCTATTAACAGAATTTAAATTAATTTTTTACCGTAGGAAAAACTTAATAAGATATAAATGAAAAACTAGATTACAATCTTTAAAAATACAAGAAAAACAAAATATAATTTATATACAACAGAAAACTATACATATACATAGATAAACACATCCTACAAATATAGTTAATTAATTGCATTTAATTTGTTAAAGAGGCATTTATAATTTATGTCCCTGGTGAGCTCGTATTTTTCCAGAATTTATTTTTTATAAAAATAAAAAATTGTAGTTGGGGACGTATGTTGGGTTGGTATTGACAGGATACCTGTGGAATGGAATGGATTTTATCATGCCAGTTTTGATAGTCTTCATAAATTTATCGATGTTCAAATCTATATCAGAATGATTTGTTATAACAGGGTTAATGTCTAGATTTTAATCTATGATTTTCTGGAATTTTTCCCAATTAACCAATTTGAAATTGAATTTTGTGGTCGTGCTGGTTTTATTTTCCAATAAAAAGATCACAGGGTTATGATCTGAACTGAGACTTGGTACAGGGATGAGGTGAGAAACATCAGAAATATTTTTGGTGAGGGCTAAGTCAATAATGCTAGGTTTGATTTTTTTCTGAGTTGGTATGTAAGTTTGCTCGTTTGGAGCATGCAATTCTTTATTTTTCCGTGATAAAATTTATTAATAATTTTCTATTCAAGGCATTCAAGTCCCCGAAAATTAGTGTGTGTTTAACAATATTAAACATAACTCTAAGATCATCCATATTTATTTTATTTGGAGAGATACAAACTGCAACTGTGTTAATAATTTTGTTTTTGACCTTGAATTTTTGGCCTGCTCTGTTTCTGTCCTTTCGGTAAACAGTGTAACCAGGAGTCGAGAATCTGTCCCGAGGAGATAAACGGGTTTCGCTTACTGACACACTATCTGCGGTTGATTTGGATGTAGAAATTGCTTGAATTCTACATCATTGCGACGAGGTATTATTAGAAATTATTTTACCCATGGAGTTGAACAAAAAATCAAGACCATTTAGTTCGGATAATGAAAAAGAATTAGTAACCGATGATTTCAAGAAAAGAAAAAAAGAAAGAGAATTATAGACCATTATTGATCGTCAGGTGATAACAATAGAGAAAAGATTGATGAAACATTTTTTTCAAAATTCAAGGACATACTAGACCTGCTACGATATATACAACCGGAACATCAAGATTTCTTCAAATCCCTTTCACACACAGGAAATGTAGATGAACATAAATTTGTTTTGTAGTTTCTGAAGTTAAAAAATGTTTTGAATCTCATAAACTATGTTTTTTAAGTGTTGTAAATTTGAAACGTCTTAACTTATGTTGAATGGACTTGGCCCTCTTCAAATTTTATAACGAATCATCTTGCTAATTTTTAAAGTTTCTTAACTCCATTCTTAGTAGGAAAACGCATATTATTCACTTAGTAATTGCAATTATTTTAATAGAAACTGTGAATTTAACTCCTTTAGATACACTTAAGCGGTATGACTCATTAGTATGCTCTACATATATTTTTAAATGCATTGAAACGCAAACCCTTAAATATTCAATTTAAGTATAAATGGACTTAAGCCACTTTCATAATAAACGGCTCAAATATGTACCTAGTTGATTTAAATTAATTTTAACTCTGCCTTTTAGCTTTCTTCTCAAATACCTGAGATAAAAGTTATTTCGATTTTTAAATTTCAGTTAAAAACTACTGATGTATTTATAAATCAGAAATACGAAGGATAATTTTTTTTTTGTTTTGTTTGATTTTCAGTTATAAGAAATTTTATGTGATCTATTACAATCTTTTCTGGATTTTAAGTTTTCAGGATTATCAGTCTGAGTGTTTAGTTGAAGTTGGCTAGAGGTGTCGTTAAAGATAAAAGTACATTCAAAAAGCTTAATTTTCTTTTGTGCAGGCACATCTTATTTCTTTAATCTTTCTGATCATATATTTTATGTTGGTGAACATAAACTTGAAAAATCAATGAAATATTATATGTTGAAAAATCAGTGAAACATTATATACCATCATCATTTTCTGCTATTGTGGATTGACCTAGTTTAAAATATTGTCCCGATCTTGTCTGCAACAGGTTATGGCTGACATTTTGGAACCTTGTTCTATATTAATGTCATTTTGAAAGATGTTCATTCCCTTAGCACAGGAGTCTCCAAACTTTTTGGCATACAGGCCACATTGAGACCTTGACTAAGTTCCGCTGGCCGGATTTATAGCCCCATGCAGGCCCCGCGGGCCATGACTTGTGATGAAAAAAAAAAGCTTATTCAATAAATGACATTTCAGCAGAGTTTTCTAGAAATTGCAATAAATGTTGTAACCTCATGTGGGAGTAATTTATTGAATTTCATATTTTTAAATTTTTTCCATGTAATCAAAGAATCTTTGATCGGTTCTTTGATTACATGGAAAAAATTTAAAAAATGAAATTCAACAAATTACTCCCACACAAGGCTAACATTTATTGCAATTTCTAGAAAGCTCATTTCAAAGCTGAAATATCATTTATTAAATAAGCTTTTTTATACAGTTAATTATTAACAAATTAATTGTTAGCTCACACTGTTGAAAATAACATCAGTAAAAAAAAAAAAAACACAGCCATTTAACTCTGATGGATGAATAATGAAGAAAATAATGCAACCTATAACCTATAGTTTTTATTTATTTCTCTTTGTTTCAATAAAAAAAAAATATTTGCTCTAATATAATTAAAAGTGCAATGTAGTGCTTAATTAATAAATTAATTATCTTTAGATGATATTAACTCATATTTTGAGGTTATTAACTGTGTAATAACATCTATGTATAATGCCTATAAAATAACATTAAAATTAATTCCTTTCAGACATTTAAAGTGACAATAACTTTTTCCTAAGAGCAATTAAGTTTCACTTTTTCAAACTTTTCCCTCTTACTCTCTTCCTATTTTATTCACTTTAAAAATAATACATGACAATATTATAAGTCATGAGTATTAAACGAAGTTCATAACTACTACCAATGTCTTACTTTAACCAGTTTTTAAATAAAACTTGATTCTCTTAAGCCATAAAAACATTCTTTTGTATTCATTAATTATAATTTCTTTTGTTTCAGCTAATTGGAGTCATTTTTGCTTGCTGTATGTCTCGTTCTATTCGTAAATATGAAACTGTCTAATCATTATGTTCTAATAGCCTGTATGTTATAAATGATTTTTCCAAAATTTTATCACATATATTTAATTATTGCCCTGTTTGCCAAATATGTATAAAATTGAATAATCTATTTTCTTTCTTATGGGGTACCTCTAAAACATAGTTTGTACCTGACCTGAATCTCAGAATTGTTTCCTTTTTATTTCAGAGTAAATAGTTCTCACCCACTTTTTAATATCTTATTACACATTTTGTCAAACTATTCAGGAAAAAATTAGTATGTACTTATTAAAATTTTTACTGGTGTATTTTATAACTTATATATACATGCATACATAAATACATACATACTGAATGTGTTTGTATCTAAGTATATTTATATATAAATATATATTTGTGGTTTTTGTGTACTTACATTTTATACTGAAGTTTATATAATATTAATTATATCTTTAAACTTATTGTAGAGATGTAGTATCGTAATGTCACCATGGTTGTAGTGTTCTTTTTTAATAGATCCATAATTGCCATTATGTGTCTTTCAATTGCATTTTTTGTATTTATGGTTTCATTTAGGTAAAAAAAAAAGACGCAAAAAAAAATTAATTTAAGAAAAATCAGAAATAAGATAAAATTAAGACTTGTCCAAGACTGTTGTGTTGCCCTGTTAATAAATCATGGCTGACTGTTATATGCACATTTTTAATATGAATAATCAATAATTTTTTAGAATATTTTAAGTTTTGCCAAAAGTTCAGTTCTTAGTTATATTCCTTATTGATTTTATTATATTGTTTTTAATTGTTAATTTGTTTTTTAAATTTATAAGTTACTAAGAATGGAAGTGCTATATTTTTTTCATATTATTTAAAAAGAATTAATTTAAACTTTTATGTTAATGTTTCTGATTTATTTAACTTTTTTTGTTAAGGCTGTTATATTTAGATTTTCTAGTATCAGCTTATTTATTTATGAAAGTACATAGTTTGAGTCATCTCAAGAATGTACAGCATTATACATTATATTTATATATATATCAAACTTTATAAGAGTAGTTTTGTTTGAAGCATCCGGTGATGTTAAAGTTTTTGTTTATCTTAATTTGACCCAATTTAATTTATGACTCAAACTTAGCTTCAATTGTAGAATCTTTCTCTTGATTTTAATTTGAAGTGTACCCAAGCTTCATTAAAATTAGTACCATTTTAAATTTTAAATTTTCCTTATAAAATTTAATTTATTATTACAGCTAGGCACTTCATATTTTTCTCTTATAAATTTCATTGTAGAAACAAATGATCTCTTAATCTGATTATAGAAATATTATTAAGCTGAATTAAGATATTTGGCTGTGTTTTGTATTTTTTAATTATTTTTTTTTTATTCTTTTGTATTTTAATATTATTTATTTATGTATATATAGTATTTTAAATAATACTGACTCAATTTTAAGGATTTTTGTTGTATATTTGTATTAATGTTGACAAAATACATCCTCTCAATGTGATAATTAGTTTATTCCCATTTGATGATCCAATTAACATTCCATATTGATATCTCATAGTGGTTTTATTTCGCTATCATAATATGCAGGTTGGCGACCAAAGTCAGGGTATAATATTTCGTGAATATGTTTATAGCATTAAATATATTTTCTGTAGTTTAATAATTCTAGATCTGATATTATGTTTAAATAATTAGGTATCTATCGTCCGTTTATTCCGAAAAATCATCATGTAACTTTTAGAAAATTAAATTAGTGAATAATTTGATGAATTTTCCCTTTGTGATATTCCAACAGTATCCACTTACAATTAGTGAGAAATCTTTTGACCTGTCTATGACAGACAATGCAAATCTCTTAATTCATAGTCATACAATCCAGAATCAACTATTGATATAATAAATAGGATTTTTGTTATTTTAATTGTATTAATGATTTGTTAGCTGTAAGCATTAAGCTTTACCTTGATTAAAAATACACTTCAAAAATTTTAACAGCCCAACATTGCCAGAAAATTATTTCTATTCAAAATTGAGCGGTAAGTGAAAGATGTGTATTGCGTGCACCAGATTTTTAACAGTTAATATTGGCAAATGATAGATACTTACAAATTATTTCAATTTTATTTTGTGTACATTTTTAGTTAATGCACGGATGGTGCAATCATTGGCTGGCAAACCCATTTGTCTGATTCCTGGTGCTGGCTGGTATTTACCAGAAATGTCACAGTTGGTGTTTTAGGATAATTGGTATGCTGTTTATGGTAACTAAATTACTTATGAGAAACTACATTAAAATAAGAATCGCCTGTAGCCCACTTTATTTTATAACAGATCTTTGTACATCAAATATCAAGTTTTATCTTCTCTCAATGAAAATAAATTAAAGGTGACAAAAATAAATTACTAGAAGTTTAGTTTTTTAGATTAAAAAAAATTAAAAATCCTAATCAATTTTAAAAAACGTCTCCTCTAAAACTTTATATTTGTTATTTAAAAGAATACATTTTTTTTTTTTTACTCATCATTTTGCAGTCTATTTTATTTTATGTATAATAAATAAATTTAGTCATAAATTATACATTTTTAATATTTATCTTTCCAGAAATATTGGTCAGAGAAAACTATTATTAATTAGGGAAAAGAAAGAGAATTTTACTTTAACAGTCTAGTAGCCACTCTGATATGGCTCATGTCTGATTATGCAATCAAGTTGAAGTTTGGTGCAAATGCATAAACATATCAGCTCTTTAAACTGAATTTGAGTGATCTCGATATACACATTTCTTAATTCACGGTAACAATTTTATAGAAGTGTTTTAGCTAATACTTATAGAAGGTAGGATCAACAGCTTTGTAAAACAACAAGATATATCTTAAAGAAAATTGGCACAAAGATATTTTAAAAGCTTTATTTTTTCTTATGGACAATAGCTAGGTATCTATACAGGGCGAGATCATTAGATCGGTAGAACTTAGTGGCTGATTTTTAAAAAAAATTTCTATTAACTAACCGTTCCTTACTTCCATTCCCCAACAAGTTTGGGGACTGATTGTTTTTTCCTGCCAAACAAGGGGCAGTATTTATAAATTTAAAACTTTACTTGCTGAGGACTGAATATTTTTTATATTTGGCTCTAATGCAGCTAAACATGTGTTGTAACATCTACGAAATACTGTAAACCATACGAAATACCGAAGAATACTTTTCCTAATAGTGTCTGTATTAGCCTGGGTCAACTACATTATTTTTAAGCCATTTCTTGTTAGAGCATCTGCAATAACAAACTTGTACAATTCAGGTAATGAATAATTAGGATGAAATGTAATTAACGGTGCTGTTTTTTTTTTACTAATTAGTAACTAGGTACATAGAGTTATTCTTAACATTTTTGGTGAAATTTTGATCTTTTAAATTCTACTGGTGCAAGGGAATCTTTCCCAATGATCATTTTCTATTCATGGAGTTTGTTCAGTAATGTTTTTAACATTTTGTGTTATATATTTAAATAAATTATGAAAAAAAAACCCAGATGAAACAAAAATTTTATAAACAAAAAAACATTAATTTTAAATTATTAATGTTTCATCTATTTAAGAATTTCTTAAATAAGTAATGTGATATTTATTTAATAACATTTTTTAAATTGATTTACAAAATAAAATAAATATTTTTGCAAGTCCCTTATCATAAAAGGAAAAAAAAAAATTTTATTTAAACCTACTATTAACTGAAAATTCCTTTATATTACTAAATATAATGTCTATACAAACACCTCAGTCTCAGAAGAGAAATAATGATTTTACAACTTGTTTGCTTCTTTAATTATTCCAGAAAGATTCCATAGCTGCTTAGAAAAAACATGGTTTCAGGGTTAGTCCTATCAAAACAGATAAATCAATTTAACAATTTCATGGGACTACAAAAAATATGATAAATTACCACTATTACTGAAAATCTTAAAATTTCAAATATATTTTATCAATGAAAATACTGCTACTGGTAGGGAAAACTAGTTTGGCTAGTGGGCCTTGTGTTCTTATTTGCCAATCTCTGACGGCTACCTTGAGGTTCCTGCCGCATAATTACCGTAATGGAAATGTCAAGATTCATTTTGCAGGGATGCAGAGAAATAAACATTAACCAACCCAGGTGGGATTGAACCCACAATGTTTTAAATCGGTTAATCTGGAACACACACCCCAACTTGCTCTAATCAATTAAGATAAGTAAGCCTTTAAAACATTTTGTTAATTCATATAAGTAAATACAATGATCCTATAATTTGTAAGATTTTTAAATTCACATAAATGATATCTAACCCTATTCTAATAATTTATTTCTATTTGTAGATTTATATAGGTAATTCACAAATTTATATAAGTTTTGATTTTTACAAAATTAAGGTGGATGTTAAAATAATCAGGATTCAGTCATAATAACAACATGAGTGATTCCTGATTAGTTATTATAAGCGTGAATTCATAAAATAGGTTTTAAGTTTTTCAGGGTAATAATAATGTTTAGAAACCCTAAGTAATATAAGCATATTCTCATAATCAATGAATATGAGAATTCAAGCAAGAACTGTGCATTAGCATATATTTTGACTTATATCCAAAGAAATGGTTTATGAGTGTTTCTAACCATCGGCGCTGACTTCGTGAGGAGAAGAGGGGGGGCGAGTGCCCTGCAATACAAATAGAGAGGGGGCGAAAATATCATTTTGCCAACCCCCTCCCAATATTTGGAAAAATAAAATAAAATCAAAATTAATCTACATGACAAAATAAAATATTTAAACTAAAATCAATTAAGGAAATAGGAAAAGTTGATTAGATGCATAAGCTAAAGACCAGAAGTACGTACGGAAGTATTTAAGTAATTAATTATATGTATTATTATATGTATTAATTATATGTATTATTTAAGTAATTAATGATATGTAGTAATATATCCTAGGATTTTATGATTTATTCAAGTGCACCCTTCCATTTTTACGACGATTACGGTTTTACCAAATCGAAGCCCCCTCAAGTTGCACCTTTGGTTTTAACATTTCCCTGTGGCTTACAGGAATAAAATATTTCAACACTATGTATAAAAGAGTTAAATAGCATCGGAGGGAAGAGATTTTTTATTTCGTAAGTCACATCAATTGTTAAAACCCATGCATTTTTAAACAAGCTTCAGTTAATATAATTTTTCTTTAATTTTAAGTGAAAATATTCCAGTAACTAGTGAGACCTCACTGTACAACTTACTTTCTCTTACTTAACATTAATTGCATAATTACATGTTCCTCTCCATAGTGCAAATCATGATCCTATTAAAGCCTGACAACAAACCATGATTATTTATATCAGGAGCAGTGCTTTAAATGAAATTAAAGGACCCCTGTGCCGCGAATCTCTTGAAATAAAGAACTATAAATGTTTCCTCGAAGTTTACAGCCTGGATACCAAAGGCTCAACAAGGTTCATTGACATCTTGGTGTTCAATGCAAGAGAAAAGGAAGTATTCATAGTGGATCCCACGGTCAGATTTGAAACCAACGATCAGGATCAGGACGTCAAGGTACAGGCAGAGAAAGAGGAAATTTATACGAAATGCATACCTTACCGGAAGGAAAAGTATAGAGATGAAATCGGTGAGAGAGAATACTTAGTTAAAGGGCTATGGTTCGGAAGCAGGGTAATCATCTCTCTTACTACAAGTAATTTCTTGCAGGGGCTCAGAGTTGGAACCGATCAGATGCAGATTATGACAGAAAAAATTATTTTATACTTGTCAGGAATCCTCCATACCCACCTATATTGATCTAGGCCTTCACTTATTTGATTCTATGAACCGTTCTTGGTATGTCTAATATGTATTCCAATGTCCGACCTACTCTCACTTATATTTTTATACTTTAGTATCTTTTGATTGATGAGTATGCTGTGTTATTTAGCAACACAACACAGTTGAGCAGCTGTGCGATGTTGTATTTCTCTCTTATAACTAATCAGCTTTGGTATGACTGAAATCTTTATTTTAATTTTTTTTCCTGGTATTTTTTTGGAACTTTTTGGAAGTGGAATTTTTTTCCCTTACAACTTTTCAAGTAAAGGTTTTACAAAACTTGTATTTTTAAAATATTTTTATTTAAAAGTCCTGTTGATTATGACAAAAAATTGATCTAAAAATTGACTGTTATTCTTAGCTGCTCAAACTACACATTAGAATCAAGTAATTCATTTAAATTAAACTATAATTCTAATCTGGAAACAAATTTGTAATATTAACAGATAGTATGAGCTTAGCAATAGAAAATAATAGGAATCATAGATGCAGACTTTCGATTTTGATTGGGCGTGCATTGGACTAAAAAAAAATGGTGGAAGGTTTTAATATGCCTAAAAATTCAACATAATTATTGTGAAATGTACAAATATAATATTGAATATTTAAAATTTATTTTTTTAAAGATTTATATCGTTGTAAGGATTTTTCAAATTTTTTTTTACTTATTCTATATACTTGAAAATATCTAAAAAAAAAAAATATTATTGAATACATAACATATTTTTTTAGATTAAACACAGGAAGAAGGAGAAATGGCCTTCATAACATTGATACATTTCTAGATCCTATTCAGCTAAAATTGAATGATGTAAAAAAGTAAAAATAGAAAGTTTTTCACAGACCGACTTGTTGCTGCCGAAATTGTGAAAATTGAGGGGTGATTGAATCATAAAATACTAGGATATTTTGATATGCAAGGTGTTCCGTAAGTAGAGAATGGCAAATATTTGAACTATAGATTATACTAGAGACCCCACTTTTATGGAAACTTTATTGTTTAGTAAGCTTCAAGTCCACGTTAATTAACTTGAGATTTTATTACGAAATAAGTTGAAATCCACCACAAATTGTGTAAAAAAAAAAAAAAAAAGAGATTTTGTGATATTCTGTCACCTTAAAGTACCTGTTTTCAACAAAAATGACTTCAATAAATTATTGCAAAGCTGTAATGTATTTTTCCCATTACCTGGGAAATATCATAAACATAAATTAATAAATACAGTTTTTATTTATTACAATAAAAATGTTAAAAATTATGATTTCTCAAATATTTATATTTTGAAATGATAATGAAACTGTGCTCTGTATTATAGAAGTTGATTCCTATTTATAAGTGATTAATTAAATGCTCCCAATCCTAATATATATACGATTTAATGAAAATAATTGAAGCAATCAGCAAGCTTCTTTATTTTAGATGTAGATATTCATTCTTTCATAAACAAACAAAACTCTACTTTCGTTTGAAGCAAAATTTTGTCTTGTTTACAGTGAAGCAATTGTTAATTAATTATATTTACTAATGTTTTAGTTATTGCTTTCTATTAATCAAAAACTATGACTTAATTAAAAAATACAAAACTTAAAATTGCCCACTATTCAGCCGAAAATCGGACTATTTTTTATAACAAGTTTTTGATAGCTCTAAAGGTCTACAATTACTTGTATAAATATTTCGCTCTAATTACAGGAAAACCTGCATATTATTATCTTAAATATAAATGACAATTTAAATAAAAGTAATATTTAGGTATCAATAACATCGTTACATACCTAGACATTATATACCTGAACATTATTAGTCAAAATAAAAAAACGACATATAGATTCTTTACATGGGAGTAAAGTAAGAATTAAAATGGAAACTTAAATGTCAGCAATGAATTAATAAACCAAGAATTTGTAACAATTCAGTATTAATGCTGCTCTTGTTTGGTCTCCATGGGAATAATCTTTTTCATAATTAAGAGGGATGTGTTATACTAAAACCAGTATGTGTTAGTTAATTCAGAATGGGATTAGAAGTTGCAATCCCTTACCCATTGATCAGATATTCACACTTCTGTTCTTGGTTTATGTTTTCTAATTGTCTCTTGCTTAAAATATCAATATTTGATTTTATAAAAATACCTTTAATTATTAGACCTTACGATGGAGAACAAGGGCTTTTTAACTTCAAGTCATTATGTTCTATACTAAAATATACTTCATAGAATGTGTTGACATCCCAGGAGCTTCTCGAAACCTCCATCAAAACAAATATGAGAACTTAACAAACTGAAAGTTCTTATGGTTTTTTTTTTTTTTTTTTTTTTTTAGGACTTTTATGATTATAATTATTTAATTCTGCATTTTTCACCACTTCCTGTAAACTACAGCTCCAAGATGCTAGTGCTTTAAGAGTGAACAAAAACTTTTCCAATAATTTGTAATACAATCCTATGGAACATCCTGGAGTTGATTCAACTCCAACCTTAATTTGCCAATTTTACTTGACAGGTTTCAATTTTTAGATATGAAGCTTAAATATTGGTTAAAAGCAACTAAATTAATGTAGGGAACAAAACTTTAAATATTTAAAACATTACCTGGTCGTGTTAATCAGATAAAATAACATTCTATTTTTTAGGGAAGACCCTGATAAAATATGATAGGATACAATCAATACAATTTATTACTTAGCTTATTAATAACTAGAATGAATTAATAATTTTCAAATATATGGATAGGCCCGTTCCCTTACCTGAACAATGATTATTCTTTCCAAGATTAACATTCAAATTCGCTAGGTTGATTAAAATTCTTTAGAACTGACAAAACTTATCAGTATCAAATGACATATTTTATATTTGATTAACAACTAAAACACTTTATGTTTAAAAAAGGTGTCATAATAATGTTTTAAAAGTCATATTACTGTTATACTAAAAAAAATATATATATATTTCATGTAATAAAATCAGGTTTATTAAGAAAATAGTTTTAAAATCTAAATTAAAAATGATAATTGTTTGAGATTTATTTTATATAACATTGAAGCACAGAGTTCCAAAGACAGCCAGCTCCATTTTCAATCATTTTTTTTTTCAATTAAGTTTTAGTGCTAAATTATCATGATAATAAGAATTTCTTTTGAAAACAGTTTAATATAAAATGGGATTTTACTGTTTGCAAAAGAAATTCCTTCACATCAAGACGGTCTAGTACTAAACCTACAAATTAAAAAAAAAAAAAATTGAAAATTAAGTTGGATAGTAATGGGATTCTTAACCACAGTTGTAACATAACAAAAAGTGAGGAATAATATTAAAACTAAACTTCATATTATCCATATTTATTCATTCTTCGATAATCAATAACAGCTTTATTTGATCAGAATAATCACAAGGGCATTGTAAACCCTTTTTCAGATTGATATTGGCTGTACAGACAAGTATAAAAAATAAATATCCCGGATAACTTTTAATTGACAAAAATCTTTTATTTTTATTTTACTACATTAAATTGTTTATATAATTATAATTGTCTCAAACAAAGGAATTTTAACCAATATTACATCGGTTTTAAAGCACAATAAGTTTTGTTTATCAACGGAATGCTTACATAGGTTACACAAAAAATATTGCATTTTCAGATAATAATTTTGTTTTACACATTCACTGTTTTGATGAATGAATAGGTTTTATTGTAGAGAACTGTAGGAGGAAAGATTTACACCACAACATAACAGACCACGAAGTCAAATACAGTGTTAATTAGCAAGAGTATAAAGAGTACATTGTATTAGATAATATGCAATCAATGTATAAAATAAAACATAGATTGTATTTATAAAATTATGAGGTGAGTTTTATAATATATCTGTAATAAAGGAAACAGAATATTCCTATAGAAAGTTAAATTAATTAGAAGTTCAAAATTAAAAAATAAATGCATTTAAGAAAAACAAATTCCTTAAATATATTTAATGGTAGTGATTCGAATGGTTCTGTTACGAATAGGCATATTTTCAAAAAAGCAATTTATTGATTATAAGAAATTTGTACATTTTTTTTTTAAATACATATAATATGTGAGGGTATACCTATATTTTTTAAAATATAAAACCTCAGATCATTAGCCAACCAACCGCAACTTTCATCAAGTCAAGTCTTTATTTCTGCTCAGACAGAATATTATGCAAAATGGAAGTTTCAGTATAAATCATGGGGCAGATATATGACATTGTCAGCGTAGAAACATGTAAAGGAAACTAATGGAAGTCATGACACACTATATAAGCATTACTTCATCTTATCTGAGAAAATAAGATTTTCTCAAAGCAAGAATGATAACTTGATGAGAATACAATATATAACAGAGTAACTAGATAATGAGCTTAAAGTTGTAAGTAATAAAAAAAAAAAAAAAGAAAAATGAGGAAAACATTTCTAAACCAGTATAGTGACAATAAATTTAGAAACAACACTATCGAATGCAACGTATGCATATATATAAAAAAAATCTAATGATACACAATTCCAGGGAAATAAATTAAGAATTGAAATACAAAAAGAATAAGAATACGGATTTTTCTGATGAATAATAATTCACTCTTGCCAACTCGAAGCCACTACCATTTATTACAACAAAACAAATATTGTTTATCTATTTGATTCATATAATGTCAAAGCTAGTTACAACCCAAAGTATAACCAACTTCCATTGCTTAGTGAATACAAGTGAAAACAAAATGGGTAGAAAAAAAAATGTAAAATATGGAAGCATCTATAATAATTGAAACATTACTTATCCTACATCAGACTTAATATACTTATTTACACTTAATAACTATTCATAGTTTTACGATAATACATAACTCTTCATCAACTGATACAAACGACATAGACATCTTATAAATGCCTTGAAATACAAATTGTTGCCAAGAAATAAAATAAAAAATTACACTTTTAAAAGGAGGAAAACTGGTTTTCATACCATAAGACTAAATCTCTCCATGTTTACAACACAATATTTTTTGCAACTTCTAAAATATTGTTTCAATTCATACAAGAATTCCACATTACAGGAAGATTGTTACATTTCTATAAAATAATAATTAAAATTACAATATGGTATTTTATTATAAGCATAACTAAACATTCCATTATCACACTTGATAAATACTTCAATGTACCATTAGTCAAGGCAAAATGGAAATATAGAAGAAAAAAAAAATAGAGACTAAAAATTTGAAAAAACAAACAAACATTCTGAAAGCTATCCATAAAAGGACCTTTAAAAAATGTATTTTAGGACAGAAGATTTACAAAAAAACAAAAAAAAAAAAATCACTCTATTGGGATTGTGACAGGCATTACTATATCATTTTCTCACCCTTTAATGTTTTGTTTGCTTCGTAAATTATAAACTAGATGAGAAAAAACGGTTTTGTTACTTTTGCTTGTTTAGAGGTAGAGAGCTATTAGTGATGAGGAGGAACTAGACGGAAAGACAGCGAATTTCCGCTGTCCTCACGTAGCATATCTCTTGGTCCACAGCCTAGCTATACGGTCATGCTCCTCACGGTTTTGAAGGTACTGTGTTGCTATACTTCCCACAAGAGGGTCAGCTATAATCAAATTAAAAAATATATTAGCAAAATTGCAATAATAAAAAAAAAAGAAGGAAGTAATGTGATACCTGTAATAAAATAATTAACAAAGAACTGTGAGTCAAATCATATTTTGACTTCAGATATAGATAATTTAAAATTTATAATCATTTTTGGATCCGATATATGGTATACCTCCACATACTCAATACAACCCTTCGGAGGCAGCATGTGAATCCTATAAGTTTTGGTGCCTATCGTTATAATTGATTAATATTTAATTATTTATGTTATAAAAATTCAAAAAGTAAGTTGAATACATGTATATGGGTTTGTGTGTATGTATTAGCTAATAAATAAAAGAAGGAACAATAATATATTGCAGCCTCCATGATCACTACCTAACCTTAATGCAGCCTCTAATGATAAAAGTTCTCTGCCTCTGTAATAACCTAGCTGAGGTAAAGGTTAGGTATTACGATTACTACTGAAAGAGATAATTTATTTTTGAAAGTAAAAGAAATTAATAATTAATATTTAGAACTGACATTATAAATATCACAGACAACATAAGAGTTATTTAAATATAAAAGGTTTAGTAGCCAAAATGAATTATTTAAATGTCACAAAAACTGTAGCATAACTTCAAAGATTTAACATATGAGGGTCATTCTTATATCATTTGACCATTTGATGACCCCAGGCTTTACATTTGTTTTTCACGTGTTTTTTCAGGTTGAAAAAAAAAAGTAATGGTATTAATTTAGCTCAACCACAAGAAAAAATATCTCTTGTAGAAAAACATAACGAATGCTACTGTCCCCAAGGCAAGGAAGCGAAGTTCTTCATGCTTTGATATGAATCAATCTATATTAATTGATTTTTAACCATGAGTAATTTCACTGTTATATGATGCTATTTCGAATTCTAGATACCTTTTTTAGTTATCTCAAATACTTGGATTGTTAAGTAGAAAAATAGGTTCATTTAATGTGACGGAAAAGGCATCTGTCAGTGATATCAGCTATCAACCCATAAGTAACCTTGAGTTATAAAAGAGCTGACTGGAGACTAAACATTTTTTCTTCCAAAATATGCTATGACACAAAAATTATGCGTAGTGAATGCTACCATTATTTTACTTAACATTGTTTCATTAACATTATGGATGAAAATTGTAAAATAAGTAGTTTGGCGGCATTTATTTAAGGTTAAGGTTTCATATCTGTCCAAAATTTGGTTATATCAGAAATGGCAATTTTGTATGAAAAACGTAACAAATGTTACTATTATTCGTATAAATTTAAGTCTTTATTTAATTTGTTTCTAATATCAATTTGTCAGATCAGTTTCTTAAATATAAGTATTTAGAGAACAGTTTAGTATTTAGTTTAGTTGTTTTTCTTAAAGGTATTGATGAAATAAACAAAAATCGTCATTTTTTTTTCTCATGTTGACATGAAATATTTATTGTTCTATTTTTATCTTTATTACATTTATAGCCATTAAATCTTTCTAATATGCTAATAAGGTTTGTTCATTTAAACTGGATAAATTACCCACCTTGGATCCACAAACCCCAAAAATAATGCTCCGTCTCTCTAGATTACTCAATACATCACCTTCCGATTAGAAAAACCGAATTCCATTGTCTTCTAAAAAATACTCTGGAATCATTTTTAATTTAAGCTGATGGTTCGAAATCCGATAATGCTACAGGTTCTTCGTTTGTTACCCATAATTGCGCACATAAAATAAAACTTCATAAAGTAAACAGCATATACATAGCGGTACTTCATGCAATAGCTTCAGCGCTCCACTTCTGTATGCCAATAACTCCAGGTACAATAGCCTTGATAAGCGACTCTTTGAGTTCATTAAAAGGTTTTAACATGTGTTCAAAACATCCAGTTATCCCCAAAATACACAAATATTATCATATTCTTGAATATTTGGGCAAATCTGTTTGCTTTATTTAGGTTCCAAGTCACGTGGGTATAGTTGGTAATGAGCTTGCAGATAAGATAGCCAAACAAGCACCCAGGCACGGGGTACTGCTATTCTGATCCTTCCAGAAATGAGTTTTCCTCTCAAAAAGGAAAAACCGGATAGTTGGCAATCTATGTGAAATGAAAGCCCACCTAGCATATTAAAAGTTACAAAATAGGTGAAGCCCTGGACCACACACCACACACAAACCATCTTAATCGTAGAGAATAGGTCGCCGTGACCAGGTTAAGAATAGGACACACAAATCTTACTCATGTACATCTCATAATTAAGCAGTTACGAGATTACGAGATTTTCATTGCCTGCCATGGATAGGTCAAAAGTTGCCACACTAATTGTAAGTGGATAATGTTGGGATTTCAAAGGGAAAATTCATCAAATTATTCAATAATTTAATTTTCTAAAAGATTACTTGATGATTTTTTGTTAATAAACGGCCGATAGATACCTAATTATTTAAGTATAATATCTTATCTAGAGTTATTAAACTATAGTAAATATATTTGAGGTTATTTATTAAAATAAACCATATTAAAGGTACTTTAGAGGAAGATGTATATGAACATTAAGCATTTAAGTCCTGTAAAGTGACATCAATGGGGATAAGAACTAAATGATATTAAAGACCACTTAATTATACAATGATACGCCGAGTTTAACCAAAATCGTTAGAGCCGTTTGTGAGAAAATTGTAAAAATGTGTTTCACCGTTGATATAAAGTGGCACTTTCGGTTAGCCAATTTTAAGGGAAAAGTTGCTGCCACATCTAAGACATATACCTATCTTAAATAGGCAATATCAGTTTCTTACAACTTGGTTTTTAAGCTAGACTGTTCACATACACACAGACCATTTTTCGGGATTTGGTTATTTAGACTCAGGTGACCTCAAAACGTGTATTTCCGTTGATAACACAGATTCAAAAATTTTCACTATCACAATACTTACTCTTACTATGTATTACATAGATAGGTAAGTGAAAGTAAAAATATTCATTATAGTTTAATCTGAGCTAGGATACTACTAAAAACAGAATGAAGACATCAATTGACAGAAAATGCTAATGCGAAAGCTAATACAGCTTATGTGAGAATATCAGTCAGAACTACCAATTGATAACAATTTTTAGCAGACAAGCATAATAACATACAATCTTCACTTGAAAAACAGAAGTGAAAACGTAAGAGAAATATGTTTTATCCATTATATAAATGCCCTTACCTGGATTGCAGTCTGTTAATAGAGAACAAATTGATAACAAAACTTTTGAAATAGTTAATGCGGGTGACCAATTATCTTTCAAAATATCCAAGCAGATCACTCCTTGACTGTTGATATTACAATGGTAAATACGAGTTCGGAATGTAACCTGGATCAGGGAATAATAATGAGAAACAAACTTAGCTATGATTCAATATATTCTGCAGAAAAAAAGCAATTTACCTTAGGAGGCTTGAAAGGATACTCAGGAGAAAAATGAATATCTAGAAAAAACACACCACCTTCGTAAACTGAACCTGGAGGTCCTAAAATGGTCGAGACCCATTCATATAGATTATCACCTTTAGGTCCAGCACTAAAAGTTAAAAAAAAGGAATAAAATAACTCATAAGATGTTTAATAAATAATGAAATTACTAAAAATAAATATGGTCATTATACAGTGACTGTACCTGCAATTAGGTGGAGGATCTAAAGTTATTTCAGCGAGTTCTTTTTGGATTCTAAAATAAATAAATACAATTATGATAATGAATATAGTTAACTTAAATCAAATTAATCAGTTGACAGCCATAATATAAATTAGAATTGAATAGAACATAAAGAATAATCAGAGAACAAGTATAGAAATAAAACCTTTTCGCAGATGTGGAAAGTGCTTTAGACATTTTAGGATTTGGTTTTACTTCTTTATTTTCTGTCTTAGGAGTTTCTGGTACAGATGCAGCACCTCTTCCACGACCAGTTCCACTAGATCCAGCACCAGACATAGTCACAGCCACTAAATACAGAAAAAAAATTTCATCATATTAATATAAGAGACACAAATCAATTTGAAAGAAAAGAGAAAAACATTACATCAATATACAAAATGTAATCTTAAATCAATATCAGTAAATGGCAAGGTTATAAAAGTTAGGTTAAGCTGTGTTTGGCTATGAACCTTGGAAACAATTATAACAATAAATAATATTTTACATAACAACAGTGAATTAATACTAAATGACAGAGCAATGATGGAGAAATATTAAGAGATCAAGTAAAAAAAAAAACGAAAAAAAACTAATAGGAATGTCAAATTGTAAGTGTTGGTCACAGTAGTTCACTTCTAAAGTAATGTAATTTATTTGATATGGATTAAGTTTCAAAATAATGAATAAAAAGGGTCCTTGTTTCAAGAATATCAATAAGAGTATTCTCAGTTAACAAGAAATTAATGGACCACACCTATATAAGTTCAGAACAAAAGAGAACCTATAAAAATAATACTTTGAGAACCCTAATTAATAATTACACAAACTTGTTTTTTAATGTAAATCTATGGCTTTAAATAAATATACATACCAAAAAATTATTAAAATAGTCTGGGCAAGTAGAAACTATTCTCAATAAACTTATGAGTACATTTCTAATAAGATGCAAAATGAACTGAACCGGCGGCCATGAACAACTTCTCAGCTGTGAAAGAGTAATATTATTAATTTAAAAAGGACATCAGAGCAGTATTACATACACAAAATGTTTTAAAGAAGACAATAGATAAAACCTACGCTTAGGAAACAGAATTTTTATCGTTCCAAGGATTTAACCAAATCCAACAACTGGGGCGTCTTGTCAGTAAACACAAGGCTCCAAAGCCTCCTCACAACAAAGAGGTTGCATCTTTATTAAGTACAAATAATAAAAAAGCCATAAAATAGCTCTCACATTGGATATGAAACATTTTTATGTTGTTTTTTATTTATTTATGATAAATGTTTTACTAATATAAGGAATAATTAGCAATGATCTTATCCTTTATAAACATGAATAGTATAGCGAAGCTATATTGGTAATACACTATGAGATTTTTCGCAATTTCCGTATTATGTAAAATTACTAAACCTAATACTATATTGCATTGGAAAGATGCTGGTGTATCTAGTTGCATCGCTATCCAATGATTCACGTACGTTTGCGTAGGTAAAAAAAAAAACATCATAAATTAATTCAAATTTCCCGGTTTTTTAGTAACTATTTAATAGAGGGGATGAATCAGATGAAATGGGAAAAGATCTTTTTAAATTTTAAATAATAACAATTTAAACACATATGTATAATATACATTAATTAACTAAAAATATGTAATTGCAATATTAAAAAAAAGTGTTAAAATATTATCATTTCTTTACTTTTAATGTTGCTTTTTTAAAAGCACATCAGTTAAATTTCAAGTTATCTCTAAAGGTGCGTTTAGACATTTAACAAACTAGCGGACAAACAAATATATAATTTTTTTTTCTATGCTAGTGTTTTTGTTTCTTGTTTTTGATTTTTTCCATCTAATGTCGATAACAAGAGAAATAAAAAAAAAGTTGGTCTTATTTGAGGTTTCTCATGGCTTGAGAAAAATGTCTAAACGTACCTTAATATGTAGTTATATTCTGTTTCAATTTTTCCAAATACCTAATATTTTTCAATAATTCGAAATAAATATTTGAAAAAAATCTAAATAAATCTCCAACCAACTTCTCTTCAATAAATATTTTTCTGCCAAAAACAATTTTCACAATCATCTTAATTACTTATAAATTAATGTTGCATTTATGTATTGTTGGAATAAACATTTGATTTTTCCAGAGAAATAATAATGCATTACTTGAAAAAAGTGTTGTCATGTTTCATACTTTTTGTCCTATTTCAAAAATAGTGTAATCATTTTTCAGATTTAATCCTTCATAAAAGTTACTAGCTAACCAGTTCTACGTTGGAAATATATTGGAAATATAAAATATACCCACCACTGTATAAATCAGTCAGATCTAGGATTTTCGCGAAGTTGAAAATCTTAATTTTGCTACCCATTTTTTCACCGTTTCCTCCTCTATTAAGAGTTAAAAGATTTATAATCAATGTATTTAAAAAAAAAGATATTTACCTACATAAATTAGAGAAAATTTAATTTAAAACAGATTTGTTTAATTATCTTTTGTATTTCATGAAGGCAGAATTATTCGAAAATATTTATCACTACCTAGATTATTTGAGCGGCGGATATCGAGAGCTCTAGTTTAACCTTTTAAAGTATGTATGAGAATCCCCTAAGTAATGAAAAAATATTTAAAGGGGTCATAGCAGCTCTCAAGAACTACAAAATAGTTTATATAAACAATTGTTCGATTTCACTGACAATACTTAGGCTTTGTATTTTTTTTTTAGAGTTAGAACATGTTTTATGTTGGATAGGAAGCAATAAGAAAAAAAAAGAAAAGATAATTGCTTCACAATTAACAAGAAAAAATTTCGAGTTCGTTCTTTTATGCTGTTAGTATACATCAAGTTCTCTTTTTAGTAAATCGTGGATTTTTCGCTTTTTTTTTTTTATATCATTCACCAACTGGATTACAGATACCTCATTTTTACAAAGACTTTCTTGTTGCATAATTTTTAAGTCCATATTAACTAAGTTGATTTTTAATAATGAATCATTTATCATTAATTATTTATTTATTTTTAGGTTATTTTATTATTATTTATTGTATATATATTATTTTCTGTATAATTTATTTTATTTATTGTACATAGAGTGTGAATGTGATCTGTGGACTCTATTATAAATGTCCTAGAGACAGATTGTAATATTGTTCAATAAATAAGTTTTAAAAAAAAATAATAATAATGAATCAGATGAGATTCTACTCTAAGTTTGTAAATTAATGACACAAATGGCAGTATTATAATTAATTAATTACGAAAACTATACTAATATAATCAATGAAAAACTATACTATAGATACCTGACTTTTAGAAAACATCCTCGTTTAATAAGCTTTAAGTCCATATTATTTTAATTGAAGTTTATTAGAGAAAAATTCGAGATTCGTCTCAAGTTGTGTAAAACAATTATGTGATTACATACCCGCTCATCTAACAGTCCCCTTGTTTTGAGCAAAAATGACTACAATAAAATTTTGCAAAAGCTTGAATTTCTTGTTTTTCCATGTTTTGGAATGTATTATGATAAACATAATTGTTTAAATAAACTTTTTATTTCTAAAAAAAAAAATGTTAAAAATAATGGTTTTTCAAATATTATATAATATTAAGTGATTATGTAATTCTGTTTTTATTAAGATCTGTATTGTAGAAATTGATCTGTATTTAAGTGACGAAATAAATGTTACTTGTATTGTAATTTATGTTTAAAATAAAAAAAAAAACCTGCTGGTTGCTTCAATTATTTTCATGGAAATGTAAATACTAGGATCAAAAACATTTAGTTTACCACTTATAAATTCAGATCATATATATATACATGTACATAATATTAATAATATAATATAATATATTTTATAATATAATGATATAATATATATTTATTATTTCCTTCTTTTAGTAAAAAATCAACGAGGTTTATTTAAGACCAATTCTTTTTTTTGTCTATTTTCTCTTTTATTATGCCAAACAGTAATATCATCAAGATTTTTTTTTTTTGTAATTTATATTTTTTCTCCAATAATACTATATCGTAGAAATACAACAATTTTACTTTAATGATTTCATGGACTTCAATTTAATTTAATTTTAAAAAAATAAAATTTATATATATTTTTAAATATTTAAAAATTATCGTATATATTTTCATGCCGTTCGGCATATATAAGTATATCAGAAATGTAGTTAAAACAAATACTTCCATTGCAATGTTTTTTTTATTCACAATATTACTCGATTCTTCTTCGGTGCATACTATTATTTTCAAGTTAATTTATTATTAGCCATATTTACACCAATTTAAAAAAAATTTTGTCACTTAATGACTACTCATCAAAATGACGACGTTTCGGCTCGTCGAGCCATTTTCAAGTCTAAAATACCCATCATGTACCTGTCATTTTCACTTATGCGAATTGCAAGCGTCATGTTTCTGAGTCACCCACATGTCATCCATCTCATTTCTATTCAGTTTTTTTTATTATAGCAATTATAAAACATGTTTTATAGCAATTATAAAACATGCGCTAACGAACGTTCCTGTTTGCGATCCCCTCGACCAGAATCACAACTTGACTAATTATTACACACCGTTTTTAAATTTTTACAGATATGAAATCTATGAAGAATATTTTTCCATAATAATTAAATAAAATACATTTTTTAAAACAGTTTACTGTTCAAGGAAAAATAACAGCCTGGGGTGGGCCTCAGCTTCTCTGACAAGTTTGCAGCAGTCCTCTCTGCACGACACTCTCCTCCAGTTCCGTATCCCGAGATATTTCAGGTCTTTTTCCACATCCTGAATACAACGTCTCCGAGATCGTCGTCTCCTTCTGGTACCATACATCTTTCTAAGCAGAATTCCTTTTTGCATTCTTGATTCATTCATCGGTGCTACGTGACCCAACCATTCAATTCTCTTTGCTCGTATGAAGCAGACAATGTCATAAGATGCATATAGTTTTCCATTCACCCTCTTTCAACACAGATCCATAAATTTTACGGAGAATTAAAGCATTTATTGTGGGGGTGCAAAAAGTCCAAGTTTCCGCAGAATATGTCAGTACTGGTCATATGTCATCTAAATTACACAATACTGCATTTCCTTTTACCCCCGTAATTAAAGTAGTAATTGCATATATTAAAGCAATATTCGAACGAAACTTTGGAATAGTTTCACGAGTTCTCTTAAAATAGATTTTTCGTAAACATTTTTTTTAAACATTGAAAAAAAACCCAAGGAGGAGAAGGTTTCGGATTGAAAGTCCCATAAAATATAAATATAAATATAAATATATATATATATATATATATATATATATATATATATATATATATATATATATATATATATTTCAATGGTACATATCTGTTTCTGTGAGCGATCTGAGCTAAATGTTTAAACAATCAAAATATATATTTTTTTTTTTTGCATTTGTCAAGAAAAAAAATATCTCTAAAAGCATTATGATTCCTGAAATTAAGATTTTTTTTCCTAAGAGACTTTTAAGGACAATTCAACGATTTGAGGATCATTTCATATAGTTTATTTGTTTTTTTTCCATTGTAATTAGCGTTATAAAAAAAATCCCTTAGTGCATCTCCATCTTAATAACTAATTTGTGTCGCAATGTCTGTAAACATTAACAATTAAACCATTGAGAAGGAGACATTGTATGTAAGTATATTTAAAAGCCCAGTTACTGGAGAATCATTGCAGATATTCTTTGCACTAAGTGTATGGTCATTCCATGGCAATTTGACAAAAGGTCTGAACCTTTTCTCAGATTTTCTTGCAATTCGGCACAGTTTTAATACTTATAGTGTCCAAGAAAAATAAAATTTTTCTGAGAAATTTTACTACTCGGTTTTGAATTTGACTGGAGTAAAGAACCCATTCATTAACTCCAAAATAAGATAAAAAATTGCCGTAGAACCATACATAATAAATAAATAAACACACAATATCAATTTATATCAAAATATACATAATATTAAACGGCCTATTAATTTCGTTTCGGCGATAAAACCAAGTAACATTTTGAGGTTAATAACTGGAAATGGATTCACCCAAACTAATTTTTTATGACAAATAATAACTTATAGTATAATTATTCAATTTTCCTTTCTCAGGATGAAGTGTTCCGAAAATGTATACATA